CCCAGGCCTATTCTGAGCTATGTGTTGTTTATAAGTCAGTTGTTTGTAACTTGGGGACGGCCTGTGTGTAGATGGAAAATGCCATTGTTCTCTGTGTGGAGGCTCTTTCTACCTTGAGGGCCAGGGATGAAAGAGGCATGGAGGTCCCCACCTCAGTTGCCGGACCCCCAGAACGCCCCTCCCTCCCCGCTTGTGTCTCCTGCAGGTCTCGGCCGCCCGAGAGGAGGTCCCCGGCCGGAGGGGCTTCCCGGGCTACATGTACACTGACTTGGCCACCATCTACGAGCGCGCCGGTCGCGTGGAGGGCCGCAACGGCTCCATCACCCAGATCCCCATCCTGACCATGCCCAACGACGGTGAGGACAAGGGTGGGTGGGTGGGTGGGTGGGCGGCATAGATAGGGTCTGGGGCCCAATGCCCAACGGGTCCTGACAAAAGGCACCTCACCCCCGACAGAAGAAACCGAATGCAGGGAGACAGGATGGGTGAGGTTGGCTCCACAACAGGGTGACATGATGGGGAGGGGTCTTGGAGTCTTCATGGACACAAAGCTGAACATGAGCCAAGAGTGTCATGTGGCAGCTCAAAAAGCCAATGGGATTTTGGATTGTTTTGTTTGTTTTGTTGTGTCAAGAGCAACTTGAGAAACTGCAAGTCACTTCTGGTCTGAGAGAATGGGCCGTCTGCAAGGACATTGCCCTGGGGACATTGCCCGGATGTTTTTACCATCCTTGTGGGAGCTTTCTCTCATGTCCCTGCATGAGGAGCTGGAGCTGATAGAGGGAGCTCATCCGCACTCAATGGGATTTTGGGCTGCATCCAGTCAAGTGTCTACGTCAAAGGAAAAAGTCCCGGTCCCCTCAATTTTGTTTTGCTCAGATCTTCTCACCTGGAATAATAACCCTGTGTCCAACTCAAGAGGGAGACTGACTCTCAGCCAGAAGGGATCAAGAGGGAGACTCAAAGGATCCAAGGCCTGGAGACCATGAATCATCCCTCTGAGGAGCGGCTCAAAGAGCTGGGTCTGCTTATCTTGCAGAAGAGAAGGCCGAGAGAAGGAGACTTGAGAGAAACCATGTGGAATGGTTTGAAAGGCTGCCTTAAGGGAGAGGGAAGAAGGCTTCCTGTCTGCTGCCCTGGAGACCAGGACTCAATGGAGACACGGGTTCCAATCCCAGGAACAGAGATTCCACCTGAGCCAGAGCTGTTCAGCAGTGGAACTCTCTGCCTTGGAAGCTGGAGGAAACTCCTTCCTTGGAGGCTTTGCAACAGAGGCTGCGTGCCCATGCCTGGTCTAACAGTTACATGGAATCACAGAATTCTAGAGTTGGAAGAGACCTCATGGGCCATCCAGTCCAACCCCATTCTGCCAAGAAGCAGGAATGTTGCATTCAAAGCACCTCCGACAGATGGCCATCCATCCTCTGTTTAAAAGCTTCCAATGAAGGAGCCTCCACCACAATCCGGGGCAGAGAGTTCCACTGCTGAACAGCTCTCACAGTTATAGAATCAGAATCAAAGAGTTGGAAGAGACCTCCTGGGCCATCATCCAGTCCAACCCCATTCTGCCAAGAAGCAGGAACGTTGCATTCAAAGCACCCCGACAGATGGCCATCCAGCCTCTGTTTAAAAGCTTCCAAAGAAGGAGCCTCCACCACACTCCGGGAGAGTTCCACTGCTGAACGGCTCTCACAGACAGGAAGGAATCCAAGAGTTGGAAGAGACCTCCTGGGTCCCCCCAGTCCAACCCCATTCTGCCAAGAAGCAGGAATATTGCATTCAAAGCACCCCTGACAGATGGCCATCCAGCCTCTGTTTCAAAGCTTACAAAGAAGGAGCCTCCACCACACGCCGGGACAGAGAGTTCCACTGCTGAATGACTCTCACAGTCATAGAATCATAGAATCCAAGAGTTGGAAGAGACCTCCTGGGCCATCATCCAGTCCAACCCCATTCTGCCAAGAAGCAGGAATGTTGCATTCAAAGCACCCCCGACAGATGGCCATCCAGCCTCGGACTCAAAGCCTCCAAAGAAGGAGCCTCCACCACACTCCGGGGCAGAGAGTTCCACTGCTGAACAGCTCTCACAGTCATAGAATCATAGAATCCAAGAGTTGGAAGAGACCTCCTGGGCCATCATCCAGTCCAACCCCATTCTGCCAAGAAGCAGGAATGTTGCATTCAAAGCACCCCCGACAGATGGCCATCCAGCCTCGGACTCAAAGCCTCCAAAGAAGGAGCCTCCACCACACTCCGGGGCAGAGAGTTCCACTGCTGAACAGCTCTCACAGTCATAGAATCATAGAATCCAAGAGTTGGAAGAGACCTCCTGGGCCATCATCCAGTCCAACCCCATTCTGCCAAGAAGCAGGAATATTGCATTCAAATCACCCCTGACAGATGGCCATCCAGCCTCTGTTTAAAAGCCTCCAAAGAAGGAGCCTCCACCACACTCCGGGGCAGAGAGTTCCACTGCTGAACAGCTCTCACAGTCATGAAGTTCTTCCTAGAGTTGGAAGAGACGTCATAGGCCATCCAGTCCAACCCCATTCTGCCAAGAAGCAGGAATATTGCATTCAAAGCACCCCTGACAGATGGCCATCCAGCCTCTGTTTCAAAGCTTCCAAAGAAGGAGCCTCCACCACACTCCGGAGAGGCAGAGAGTTCCACTGCTGAACGGCTCTCACAGTCAGGAAGTTCTTCCTCATGTTCAGATGGAATCTCCTCTCTTGTGGTTTGAAGCCATTGTTCCATGTCCTAGTCTCCAAGGAAGCAGAAAACAAGCTTGCTCACTCCTCCCTGTGGCTTCCTCTCACATATTTATACATGCCTATCATATCCCCTCTCAACCTTCTCTTCTTCAGGCTAAACATGCCCAGCTCCTTAAGCCGCTCCTCATAGGGCTTGTTCTCCAGACCATTGATCCTTTGAGTCGCCCTCCTCTGGAACCATTCCAGCTTAGAGTTAATATCTCTCTTCAATTGTGGTGCCCAGAATTGGACACAATGTGATTCCAGGTGTGGTCTAACCAAGGCAGAAGAGAGCATGGGGAGTACGACTTCCCTTGATCTAGGCACTTGACTCTTGTTGATGCAGGGCAAGATCCTGTTGGCTTTTTTTCCTGCCACATCTCATTGTTGGCTCAACATCACCAGAAATGGCTGGAAGGCCAAGGAACAACCAGAGGAGCAGGTGAAGGACCTCGCCGTGCAGCCCGCTTTCAGGTTGTGAAGACCCCCTGCTTTGTGTTTTGCAGATATCACCCACCCTATTCCGGACTTGACGGGTTTCATCACCGAAGGGCAGATCTATGTGGACAGGCAGCTGCACAACAGACAGGTACGTACGTTGGTTGCCCTGGCTTGGCCCCTCGCCCTTTGGCCCTGGGTCACAACTGGCACGCGGACTCGGCTGGAAGGGCTTGAATGGCTCAATGCTTTGGGATCCTGCGAGTGTGCCTCCTCTGCCAATGAGTGCTGGGACCTCCACAAACTACAGCTCCCAGGATCCAACAGCATGGAATCTTTTGCACCTGGAGTGGGGTCAAACCACACCAATTCTCCACCGTAGACATGCCCTTGGTTACTTATTTATCGTGTCAGGAGCAAACCAAACAGTTGTATTGCATTTTTTAACAAACAAACAAACAAAGCACAAAGTTTGCAAGCTTGGTAGTTGATTAGATGTCCTTTGACCAGTATCTGGCCCCTTGGAGTGCCTCTGGTGTTGCCGCAAGGAGGTCCTCCCTTGTGCATGTGGCAGGGCTCAGGTGCATTGCAGCAGGTGGTCAGTGGTTTGCTCTTCTCCCACTCGCATGTCATGGATTCCACTTTGTGGCCCCATTTCTTGAGGTTGGCTCTGCATCTCGTGGTGCCAGAGCGCAGTCTGTTCAGCGCCTTCCAAGTCGCCCAGTCCTCTGTGTGCCCAGGGGAGTCTCTCGTTTGGTATCAGTCATTGGTTGAGCCTGCCACTTTTGGACTCTCGCTTGCTGAGGTGTTCCAGCAAGTGTCTCTGTAGATCTTAGAAAACAATTTCTTGATTTAAGTCGTTGACGTGCTGGCTGATACCCAAACAGGGGATGAGCTGGAGATGTCTCTGCCTTGGTCCTTTCACTATTGGCTGCTACTTCCCAGCGGATGTCAGGTGGTGCAATACCGGCTAAGCAGTGTAATTTCTCCAGTGGTGTCGGGCGCAGACACCCCATGATAATGCGGCATGTCTCATTAAGAGCCACATCCACTGTTTTAGCGTGGTGAGATGTGTTCCACACTGGGCATGCGTACTCAGCGGCAGAGTAGCATAGCGCAAGGGCAGATGTCTTCACTGTGTCTGGTTGTGATCCCCAGGTTGTGCCAGTCAGCTTTCGTATGATATTGTTTCTAGCACCCACTTTTTGCTTGATGTTCAGGCAGTGCTTCTTGTAGGTCAGAGCACGGTCCAGAGTGACTCCCAGGTATTTGGGTGAGTTGCAATGGGATTCCTTCCTTCCCAGGTAATAATCCTCAGAGCTCGGGATGCTTGTCTGTTCTTGAGATGAAAAGCACATGTCTGTGTTTTAGATGGGTTGGGGATCAGCTGGTTTTCCCTGTAATAGGCAGTAAGAGCACCTAGAGCTTCAGAGAGCTTCTGTTCTACCGTCTCAAAGTTCCCTGCTTGAGCGGTGATGGCATGATCATCAGCATAGATGAAGCTCTCTGTCCCTTCTGGCAGTGGCTGGTCATTTGTGTAGATGTTGAACATGGATGGAGCAAGCACGCTGCCCTGAGGCAGGCCGTTCTTCTGTTTCCGCCACCTGCTTCTCTGGCCCTGGAACTCAACAGGTGACTTTCGGCAAATGGCTCTCTCACGCAGAGCCCTCCAGGGCAGAGGTTTGAGCCTTGGCTCTGGAGATCAGGGTTCAAATTCTCACTCGGCTGTGGAAAGCCATGGGGTAATGTGGGGCAGGTCACACTCTCTCAGCCTCAGGTTGAAGACTGGCAAATCCTCTCTGAGCAAGACCTGGGTCTGTTTAGCCTACAGAAGAGAAGGTTGAGGGGAGACATGAGATAAGCCATATATAAATATGTGAAAGGCTGTCCTAAGGATGAGAGAGCTTCCTTTCTGCTGCCCTGGAAACTAGGGCTCAGTGGGTTCAAATGAAAGGAGATTCCACCTGAACATCAGGAAGAGCTTCTTAGAGATGTTCAGCAATGGGACTCTCTGCCTCAGTGTCTGGTGGAATCTCCCTCCTTGAAGGATTTGGATGGTCATCTGTCAGGGTGCTTTTCCTGCATGGCAGATTGGGGTTGGACCAGACGGCCCGCACAGTCTCTTCCAACTCTTATCCTTCTATGCCTCTGTGGCAGGTTGGCCATAGGGTTGCCCCTAAGTGGCACAACAAGGCCCGCCATAGAAATAAGGGGGTACGGTAGGAGTTGTGTTGACTTACGTTGCGTCTCCTTCTGTGTGGAGAACCCTCCCTTTTGTGCAGAGGAGAAGACTCTTTGCGGTCCCAAACCCTTCCTTCCAAACTCAGGAAGGCTGACCCCTTGTTGCCTCTTTGCCTTGCCCCCCAGATCTACCCTCCCATCAACGTCCTGCCGTCTCTCTCGCGTCTGATGAAGTCGGCCATCGGGGAGGGCATGACCCGGAAGGACCACGGAGACGTCTCCAACCAGCTGGTGAGGAAGCGGGGCGTTGGGATTGGCCACCACCGTGCCCCTCTTTCTTTATGGCCCCAAACTTCTAGGGGGGGTCCTCAAACTAAGGCCCGGGGGCCGGATGCGGCCCTCCAAGGTCATTTACCCGGCCCTTGCTCAGGGTCAACCTAAGTCTGAAATGACTTGAAAGCTCACAACAACAACAACAATAACAATCCAATCTCTTCAGCCAAAAGCAGGCCCACACTTCCCACTGAAATACTAATGAGTTTGTATTTAAAATTGTTCTTCCTTTTAATTATTGTATTGTTTTTAAGTGTTTTTTGCACTACAAATAAGATATGTGCAGTGTGCATAGGAATTCATCCATGTTTTTTTTTCAAATTATAATCTGACCTCACCTCCCAACCTCTGAGGATGCTTGCCATACATGCAGGTGAAATGTCAGGAGAGAATGCCTCTAGAACATGGCCATGTAGCCCGGAAAAACCTACAACAACCTATAATCCGGCCCTCCAACAGTTTGAGGGACTGTGACCTGGCCCTCTGTTTCAAAAGTTTGAGGACCCCTGTTCTAGAGTCTCCATCCAATCTAGTAGCAAGGAGATCGTTCAACAGGTTTATTTGGTCAAGTCTTCCTGTTGGGTGGACCAATGAAAGAAAAAGTGCCACATGAAAACTAAGATGGAGCTTTGCTTTATAGTCAACACTTGGAATGTTTCTTGTTTCCCGCATCTCTTTGTAAAGAAATTGTAGAATGGATGCTGTGCGACATCCAATGTGTATTTGCAGTATTTTTACAATGCTTACGTGTTTTAATTATTCTGTAACCCACCTTGAGTCATGAGGAGAGGCGGGTAAGAAATAAAATTATTGTTGTCCTCCTTCTCCTCATCACAGCGGCAATAGAGTTCTGGGAGTTGTAGTTTGGGTGAGGCACCGGCCCTCTTTTGCAGAGAAGCTGAAGGCCTTGCAAAACTACATCTCCCAGGAGTCCATAGCACTGAGCCATGGTTGTTGAAGTGGTATCAAACTGCCTCCTATCCTTCTGTCTAGATTCATCCAGTATCGTGGGCCACGTTTCCTTTCTCGGTCCATTAGGAAATGTTTTGCATCGCTGTCCACAGTAATTTCACCACTAATCATTATTAAGAGGGGCTGATATCCTAAAGGAACAGGATCTGGTCTGAGGAATCACCAGCCCTGGTTAGCCATTGGATAGCAGACAACCAATGAATCTTTATTCGTATTTATATCATATTATTTTATTAGTATATTTTGCCTCAATGGCTTGAATACCGTAAAAGCACTGGGTTTCCAGCCAATCATGGAAGGTAAGCAGAGCCAGCCCTGGCCAGTCCTTGGATGGGGACCAGCAATGAATCTTTCTTCGTATTTATATATTATTTGTATTATTTTACTAATCGATATTGTGCTTTGGCCCATTGGTGGCGCAGTGGGTTAGACCGCTAAGCTGCTGAACTTGCTGACTCAAAGGTTGGCATTTCAAATGCGGGAAGCAAGGTGAGCTCCCACTGTTAGCACCAGCTTCTGCCAACCTAGCGTTCGAAAACATGCAAGTTTGAGTAGATCAATAGGTAACGGTGCTGCATGCAGTCATGCCAGTGGCTACATGACCTTGGAGGTGCTTGGATGGGGACCAGCAATGAATATTTACATATATATATATATATATATATATATATATTCCTGCATGTTCTGGGTCATGAACTTAAATGTCCGAAAAGCACCAGGTTTCCATTTGATTTTGGAAGCTCAGCAGGACCAGCTCAGGTCCGTCCTTGTTATTGTCCTGAAAGCCTGGCCGATGCAAAAGCAGGAGGCCGAACCTTCTCCTTCCTCTTCTCTTGCCTCCCGCAGTACGCCTGCTACGCCATCGGGAAGGACGTCCAAGCCATGAAAGCCGTGGTGGGAGAGGAAGCCCTCTCGGCAGATGACCTGCTCTACCTGGAGTTCCTGCAGAAGTTTGAGAAGCAGTTCATTGCCCAAGGTGGGTCAGGAGGAGGCTGGGCGGGGGCCCGAATCATAGACTTGGAAGAGACCCCCAAAGGCCATCCAGGAAGGAAGGAAGGCACAATCCTCTTGGTCTTTCGAAGTGTTTCCATTGGATTCTCTGATCTGCAGACTCAGCATTCAATTCAGGTTTGCAGAAGTGGAACCAGATTTACTGGAACTGGAAGTGGAGGGCAAGCCTTGGCTCAAAGGAAGGGGATCCATGTGCAAAAGGGGACGATCCAGTAAATGGCTATCTTGCACCAAACGGATTTCAGTCTTGCTTTTGCTAGAGTTTGCAAGAATGATTTTATCTGTTTTCAATGTGCTTTGCAACACCTCAGAAGTCCTGGGAATCTGTTTTTATATGTATAATGTAAGGGATCACAGGTTTAGGGTGCAGGGTCCCTTTTCGAAGAGGTCCACAGAGTCCAATAGGTTCAGGTAAGACACCATTTATTCAAGCTGGTCAGCATGAGGTGAACAGACAGCACTTCTGCAAGGGTCCCACAGACTGCCGCACCTCTGTTTTTGCAAACTTTTTATATACCCTCAGGTAAACAAGAATATTTTTGTCATGGAAAGTACTTTGAGCTTTACTCTTCCTGTCCCATCAACCTCTTGATGGAAAGTACCTTCTCGCACCTGCAGACTTTGCGCTTAACCACAAACCAACTTCCTATGTAAGCTCGCTAATATAGCAACTTTTCAAAAAGCCAAAACCTTGAACATTGTATGGCCTCTTTACGAATATTTCGGTTAAAGCTTTTAATTTTTTAATATTTCTTAGGCTTATGCCTCCTTCAATAACACATGTTTCAATGCACAATCATCTCTCCACATTTCCACATTTATCTTCTGTGGATGTGATTAGTCGCAGATTTGGTTAATAAGCTCCAGAAATTAATCATAGATTCACACTGGACATCTAAGGGTACATCTACACAGTAGAATTAATGCAATCTGACACCATTTTAACTGCTATGTCTCAGTGCTATTGGACTCTTGGAGTTGCAGTTTTGCAAGGCCTTTGGCTTTGTCTCCCAAATAGTGCTGGTGCCTCACCAAACCGTAACTCCCAGGATCCCATAGCATTGAGCCTTGGGGGTTGAAGTGGGGTCAAACTAGATTAATTCTTTTGTTTGGATGCATCCATCGATGCTCAACTTCCACCATAGAGTCACACTGGAGGACCTTGAGATTCCAAGTAAACAAGACACCAGCTTTTCTTTGGTTTGCACTGTTTCCACTTTCACAGACGTCTTGCACCTCGAACGCTCTCAAAAGTGGAAACCCTCCTGCAAAAAAGCAACCAATCCCCTTGTTGTTTTTGCTAATACTGTAACAAAATTTGGGGGGGGGGGGACTGTTCCTTCCTGTTAAATTGTACGATCCTTACTTTGGAAATAATTGTTCTACTCCAGAAACGTCATTTTTGTGCCACAAACTATGTGGCATTGGTTGGGACTTAAAGGTGAGAGATTCACTGAAAAACTAAAGCAAAAGGTGCTGCAGCAGGATGTCCTGAAAAGACAACGTTTTGGCAGTTGAATAAACTTTCTCCATGTTTTGATGATAGAACCAATTGGGAAATAATGACATTGATAACCCAAGAACAAGAATTGTGTTATTTCTGTAGCGCTGACCGGTGCGTGGCTTCTCTTCCTTTCAGGGGCCTATGAGAACCGGACCATCTTTGAGTCACTGGACATCGGCTGGCAGCTGCTCCGCATTTTCCCCAAAGAGCTGCTGAAGCGCATCCCGGAGAACATCCTTGCGGAATACTATCCCCGAGAGGCAAAGGGCCAGAGCGGCTCCGACACCGCTTTCTGAGGTCTATTTACACAAGAGGAGGAAGGAGGCCGAGCATCCGGATCCATGCGCAAATGGGATGGCCCTCCCTCCAAGTGTTTTGGACTTCAACTCCCACAATTCCTAACAGCGGTAGTGTTCCACTCCAGGTCAGGAAGAGCCCTCTGACTTTAAAACACACTACACGAAGAGTGAAGAAACAAATCTTCTTTTCTTGAAGCTTACAAAATAGCCAGAAGAAATAAATGCTTGTAAGAAAATAAGAAGGTTCCAAAAAGTATTAAGTCCATAAAATGGCAGTAACACAAAGCAATGTCCACACAGGAAATCAAATCCAAGACAGCATTAATCCAGATGGGAATCAACAGGATGCAAAGGCAATCCAAAAGGCTAAAAAACTCCACAGGAACAAGACCCCTTGAACAGGATTTCCATGGCACATGAACTTGATTTCCAAACGATGCCTGATCTAACAGGTTTCCCCTTGAGGCAAACCTTATATCCCAAAACTCAGAAATTGGTTTGGCTTCCCCCCACATTTCCCTCTTATCAGATGAAGCCTTTCAGAGTGATGTAAACACTGAGTTTGCTGTCGATCCTGACTAATCTCCAGCCGCCTATTCTTCAGCTCCCTATTTGGCTGCTCATTAAAATTCCCAGGTGTCAGATTGTTTTCTGTGAGAGCTCACAGAGAGAGGAAGTGAACCATCATTGCTAGGCCCAGCAGGGATATTCTCATGAGAAACTGCCCTTTGCACTGGGGCCTCTCTGTCATTGTATGAAAATCATTGACCAAACCATCTCCATCTTAGACCTCAGCCTCAGCACCATCATTGCTCTCATCAGGATCCTGAAACACAAACACAGGCGGATTCTCAACAGGTAGGAGTTGAAGCCCAAAACACCTGGAGGGAGCGCCGAAGTTGGCCCATGCCTGGTGTAGACTAGCACAGTGTGAAAAAGTATAGGCCTGGGACTCTTGCTTTGTCACTATTTTCCTCCTGTATGATCTGTATCATCTGATGAAGAAGCTCCAAAAGTTTGCAGGATGTACGTTATGATTTGGAGCTTTCCCAGTGAAGGCATTGCTTCTTGTGGATTCTGGGTTTTGTTGTGTTTTGCTGCACAGCCAATGCTGAATGTCTTCGCCTTGAATCTATTCCTAAGTATTGCTTATCTCTCGCTGTCATCACCTTGCTGTTAATTGCTGTAAAATACATTGATTGCAAGGCATGTCCCGATTTGAAATAAAGAAAGCAAAACGCTTTAAAGAAGGGTGTGGAAACATTCAGAACGCGCTGAGCTTTCCCAAGACAGCAGCCACAGACCTCATTACAGTTATCATCATCATCCTTACTCACTCACTCACTGACTCACTCTTTTAATGTGCATTTAATATCAATCCGTCTGTGTAAGACTGTAGGTTTTATATAGCAATATTAAATGATCACTCACAAGCCGGTTTTGCTTGAAATGGATATATTGCTTGTATCTCTGCAGCAAAGAAAGACACTACTGACTTTTCCCCACCACCACTTCCTTTTATACACCTTTCCTGCCCATCTCCCCCTCTTCTCAGTTTCCTTATTAGAACTTGTTGCTTCACAAGTTCCAATACAAGGTTTCCAGCGCCCTCTGCTGGCTTCAAAATGTCACAGAGAGAGAATTGATTCAGCCAGGAAGATTCAGTCAGGATGCCATTGGAAATTGACTCTTGACAGTCTGACACTTTTATCTAAATAGTCCACGCAGAAAACGGTTTCCAGTTTTAAGAGTCGAGTTTATTTGATTTTTTTCCATGTCAAAACGACCTGAGAAACTGCAAGTTGTTTCTGGTGTGAGAGATAAGTACTAACTTGCTTAGGTGATCCCTCATTGTCCGAGTAAGATTGTCCCGCAAGATCAGAGTCCTGGGGGTGGGTCCGTAGGTGATTCTGGAGCCCTGCTCTTGATCTGCACCATCTCCCGCGGTGAGGGCATCGGTTTCCAGACAAAAGGCAGTCTTGGTCGGGGTTGGCTTGACGCGCCTTCCTCTTGGCACGTTCCTCTCTTTCGCCCTCCATTTGTGCCTCTTCACATTCTGCAGCACTGCTGGTCACAGCTGACCTCCAGCTGGAGCGCTCAAGGGCCAGGGCTTCCCAATTCTCAGAAAAATGCTGCACTCGCACAACTCAGGCGGTGTTGAATTTCAGTGTCAGTGTTAACGTCTGTAGACAGTCCATGTCTCACAGGCGGATAGCAGGGTTGGGAGAACAATAGTTTTATAAACAAGCCCCTTGGTCCCCCTACGGATGTCCCAGTCCTCAAACACTCTCTGCTTCATTTGGAAAAATGCTGCACTCGCAGAGCTCAGGCGGAGTTGTATTTCAGTGTCAATGTTAACATCTGTAGACAGTCCACGTCTCGCAGGCGTATAGCAGGGTTGGGAGGACAATAGCTTTATAAACAAGCCCCTTGGTCTCCCTACGGATGTCCCGGTCCTCAAACACTCTCTGCTTCATTCTGAAAAATGCTGCACTCGCAGAGCTCAGGCGGAGTTGAATTTCAGTGTCAATGTTAACATCTGTAGACAGTCCATGTCTCCCAGGCGTAGAGCAGGGTTGGGAGGACAATAGCTCCAAAAACAAGCCCCTTGGTCTCCCTACGGATGTCCCAGTCCTCAAACACTCTCTGCTTCATTCGGAAGAATGCTGCACTCGCAGAGCTCAGGCGGTGTTGTATTTCAGTCTCAATGTTGACTTCTGTAGACAGTCCACGTCTCACAGGCGTATAGCAGGGTTGGGAGGACAATACCTTTATAAACAAGCCCCTTGGTCTCCCTACGGATGTCCTGGTCCTCAAACACTCCCTGCTTCATCGGGAAAATGCTGCACTCGCAGAGCTCAGGCGGTGTCGTATTTTGGTGTCGATGTTGCCTTTGGTGGAGAGGTGGCTGCCAAGGGAGTGGAAATGGTCAACATTTTCTAATGTGACACCATTAAGCTGTATTGCTGGCTTTGGAGAGGGGTTGGCCGCTGACTGCTGGAACAGCACTTTGGTTTTCTCGATGTTCAATGACAGGCCGAGCTTCTCATATGCTTCTGCAAAGGTGTTTAGAGTGGCTTGTAGATCTTCTTCTGAATGCGCACAGATGACGTTGTCATCAGCATACTGGAGTTCTATAACAGATGTTGTTGTGACTTCGGTTTTGTAGTGGGATTGGCTGGTGACTGTTGGAACAGCACTTTGGCTTTCCCAATGTTCAATGACAGGCCGAGCTTCTCGTATGCTTCTGCGAAGGTGTTTAGAGTGGCTTGTAGATCTTCTTCTGAATGCACAGACGACGTTGTCATCAGCATACTGCAGTTCTATAACAGATGTTGTTGTAACATTGGTTTTGGCTTTCAGTCTGCTGAGGTTAAATAAAGGCCTTGCCTACCTCACCACGGCCTGCATGTTGGAATTTCCCCCTTGTAGACAACCAGGTACGCTTCCTTTTCCCATGTAGGCGTAACCTCAGTGTGCACGCTTTGTGCAAAATGCGTTACAACAAACGGAAAAGGCACCTTCTAAGTACTCAACCGAAAACATCGTGGTATCGTAAATGCTTTTTGAGCAACTGAGATAACACTCCTGAAGATCTGCTCTATGTTTTCTGCATTGGCCTATCTCTGTCCCTAACAGTTCAGAGAGATAACCGGGTATATCAGTCTAACAACCGAGAACCCTAAGGTGCCTTCCGTGGATAATACGAGGGGATATTGACCACCAAGGAGAAGATTCCCTCAAGCGAGGACTGAACTCTTCTCAGGATGCTCATACTTTACAAAAAGGCTATGATGGGCAATTCATCTCCAAAAGGGTCAGGCTCCCATAAGCCTGCGCAGATTCCTGGTTTCCCAATAAAATAAATATAATCATAAGAGTCCAACCCCGTGCCAGGCAAGAAAAACACAATCTAATCCCTCCCGACAGATGGCCGTTCAGCCTCTGGAAGTTGGAGACCCTATTTCTTCCTATGGCCTGGACGTCACTCCTCATTGGCTGCCCAGGCTGTCGCTCCGCCTTTCCGCCTCCCCCGATTGGGCCGCTGCGAGGAGAAGGAGGGCCAAGGCGGGCCTAGATGCATAGCCCCACCCCCTTTGTGCCGACGTCACCGTATATTGTGGGTTGTTGTAGGTTTTTCGGGCTCTTTATTTCCATTGGCTCTTCAAGTTGTCTATCCTCCTTTCCGCCTCGTCCGATTGGGCGACTGCGAGGAGGAGCAAGGCGGGTCTAGACGCGTAGCCCCACCCTCTTTGTGCAGACGTCAACGTATATTCCCATTGGTTCCTGCAGCTGTCCCGTCTCTTTTCCGCCTCCTCCGATTGGGCGGCTGCGAGCAGCAAGGCGGGCCTAGACGCGTAGCCCCACTCCCTTTGTGTTAACGACACCGTATATTCTCATTGGCTGCCCAGGCTGTCTCTCCTCCTTTCCGCTTCCTCCAATTGGGTGGCTGCGAGGAGGAGCAAGGCGGGCCTAGACTCATAGCACCACCCCTTTGTGCAGACATCACCATATATTGAGAGTTCTTCGGGCTCTTTTTCTCATTGGCTCTTCAAGCTGTCTCTCCTCCTCTCCGCCTCCTCCGGTTGGGCCGCTGGCGGGCTTAGACGCATAGCCCCACCTCCTTTATGCAGACCTAATCGTGTATTTCTATTGGCTTCTGCAGCTGTCCCGTCTCTTTTTCGCCTCCTCCGATTGGGCGGCTTCGAGGAGGAGCAAGGCGGGCCTAGACGCATAGCCCAACCACCTTTGTGGGGACATCAACGTATATTCCCATTGGCTGCCCAGGCTGTCTCTCCTCCTTTCCGCTTCCTTCGATTGGGCGGCTGCGAGGAGGAGCAAGGCGGGCCTAGAAGCATAGTCCCACCTCCTTTGTGCAGACCTCACCGTGGATTCCTATTGGCTCCTGCAGCTGTCTCTTCTCTTTTCCGCCTCCTCGGATTGGGCGGGCCTAGGCGGACAGCCCCACCTCCTTTGTGTAGACCTCACCGTGGATTCCTATTGGTTCCTGTAGCTGTCCCGTCACTTTTCCGCCTCCTCCGATTGGGCAGGCCTAGGCGGACAGCCCCACCCTTCGCGCTGACGTCAGCACGCCCGGCGTGCCCGTTGCCGTGGCGACGCGTGAGGCCTGTGCGCCTGGCCGAGGCCTGCTTTCCCTCCGGGAGGAAGCGAGCGAGCGGGCGAGCGATGGGGAGCCCCAAGGGAGGGCGGCGGAGCCGGCAGCAGCGGCGGCGGAGGGGGAACCTGAGCCGGATCTCTCGTACCGGGACCACCAGCGCCGCCAGCGTCTCCGGGATCGGGCGCAGGCCAGTCGGGAAGGGGCGGGGCCTAAAGCGGTCGCCATGGCAACAGGAACGCCCCCTCCTCCTAGACGCCTGCCTATCTATCTCTGTGTGTTCAGATGGAACATAATCATATAATAATAATAATATATAATAATATAAATAATAATAATAATATATAATAATAAATTAATATAATAATATATATAATAATATAATTATAATATAAAATAATAATAAGATAATTAAAATAATAATATATAATATAATTATAATTATAATAATAATTATAAAAATAAATTATAATATATAATATAATATAATATAAAAATAATATATAATAATATAATATAATATAATAATAATAATAATTATAATAAAATATATATATAATAAATAATATATAATATAATTATAATATATAAATAATATAATAATAATAAATATAATATAATAATAATTAATATATAATAATATATATATAATATTAATAATAATAATATATAATATATAATAATATAATAATAATATAATATAATATAATTATAATATAATATAATATATAAAATATAATAATAATATAATAATATTATAATAATATAATATAATAATATATAATATATATAATATATTATAATAATATAATATAATAATAATATATAATATAATATATATAATATAATAATATATAATAAATAATATAATAATAATATATAATAATAATATAATATAATAATAAATAATATAATATATAATAATATGATATAATAATATAATTAAATAAATATAAATAATATAATAATATAATAATATAATTAATAATATATTATAATAATAATATAATAATATAATTATAATATATTATAATAATAATATATAAATAATATATATATATATAAAATATATAATTATAAAATAATATAATAAGATGGAATATAATAATAATAATATATAATAATATAATTAAAATAATATATAATTTGATATAATATAATATAATGTAATAATAATATAATTATAATAATAATATAAGATGTATAATGATATAATATATAATATAATAATAATATAATTATAATAATATAAGATGGAATATAATAATAATATATAATATAATAATAATTATATATATATAAATGCTCTGTGCATAATGAGTACCTTAAAAACAAAAGAACGAATGAACGAAATCACACCAAATTTGGCAACAAAATGTCTCAACACAAGGAGTGACCATCACTCAAAAAATTGGGTCAAGCTTCCCACACAGAACCCCCATGACCAACAGAAAATACTGTGTTTTATCATGGTCTTTGGCGACCCCTTTTACACCTCCTTACAAACCCCACCCCATTCTGAACCCCACGAACAAAAATGAACAAAATCTGGCTACCAGTATTAAAAAAAACCTCTAAAATTACAACAGCAAAACAACAGAGAGGAAACAAACAAGGACATCTAATCGCCTCTCAACAAAAGATTGCTCCAGGCACTGCCAGGCCATCAAATGCTAATCAAGGTGGTCAGTTGCAACATTCACACCTAGCTCCAACAGACAAGAGTCCTTTGTCCCACCCTGGTCATTCCACAGATATATAAACCTAATTTTCCTAGTTTCAACAGACCTCACAACCTCTGAGGATGCTTGCCATAGATGCAGACGAAACGTCAGGAGAAAATGCCTCTAGACCATGACCAGATAGCCCGAAAAAACCTACAACAACCTAATTAGGTACCACTTTGTGGGAAGGACATCTAATCACCTAATCATCTAATCTAGACCATGGCCAGATAGCCTGGAAAAACCAACAACAACAACAACATATTATTATTATTATTATTATTATTATTATTATTATTATTATTAAGTGTGCAATTAGCAAGCTTGCTTTGCAAGTGCCTGACAACCACTTTTCAGACTACTCGGAGAAGCTATTGAAATCCACAAGTCCATTGACAATTTCAACAGAGAGGAAGAAACCATGAAAATGGAACAAAATGTGGCACCGGTGTTGAGAAACACCAGAATCAAACTAATGAACGCCACCCAGACTCAGGAGATCTCCAGGTAGTAAACAACTCAAAGTGAACAATAATAATAATAATAATAATAATAATAATAATAATAAATCTTTATTTGTACCCCGCTACCATCTCCTGAAGGACTTACATGAGGTCGAGCCCAAAAAACAACAATAAAACAACAACAACAACAACAACAATACAGCAAAATAAAGCAAAAACAAGCAATAACGTTAACAACACGCAGTTCAAAACAAAAGGCCAGGCTACCTCCATGCAGATGCCCTCAGTGTTGACTGTGATTCCTTCATGGCTACTCACATGCTAATGGGTGGATCCTACTCAACACATACAAATCTAGCTTGCTAATTGCATGATTTACCCTTGTTAAACAAGGAAAGGTTATTTTCTCCCACCCTAGCTAGGTGTTCCACAGGTATATATATATATACCTCACTTGCTTTCCTACCATCAGATCCTCTTGAGATGGCAATAGCCACAGATGCAGGTGAAACGTCAGGAGAAAATGCTGCTAGAGCACACCAGCCATGCAACCAACACCCCTTCCTTTTTTCTGTTCATGTAATGCAAAATATTTTACGATGTTATTGTACACAACCATGGGACTTGGGTCTTCCTGCGTTTTGGGTTTTGAGTCTCCTCGTTTCTTGTGCCTGCTTTGGGGGTTTGGGGGTGCGGAGGCTCCCCAGGGTGACTGTGCTTGTGCCCCCTCTGTCCCCCCCCCCAGCCCCTCCAAGGCCAGCAGGCAGTCTTCGGCGAAGGTCCGGCCCAAAGAGGTCCACTACGCGGCCAGCGTGGGGCACGTGAACTGGCTCCAGATGTGCCTGCAGAAAGCCGAGAACCCCACCCAGGCCGACATCAACGTAAATGCCCTCCCTTTGGCGTGGGGTGTCTGTCTTCTCCTGGGGACCCATTTAGGGGTGGCAAGAGGGCAGGGCGGCTCTCCATAGGTTATTTATTATTATCTATTTATCTATTATTTGCAGCATTTCTATTCCTCCCTTCTCCTCACCCCACAGCAGGGGACTCAGGGCGGATTACAGTGTACACATATATGGCAAACATTCAATGCCAATTTTTGACATACCAACATATACAGCAGTGGTTCTCAACCTTCCTAATGCCGCGACCCCTTAATACAGTTCCTCATATTGTGGTGACCCCCAACCATAACCCTAACATTATGAATCGCCATGTAAATAATGATCTGCAGGATATATTTTCATTCACGGGAACAAATTTGGCACAAATATCCGGTATGCCCAAATTTGAATACTGGTGGGGTTGGCAGGGGGATTGATTTTGCCATTTGGGAGTTGTAGTTGCTGGGATTTATAGTTAACATGTAAACAAAGAGGATTCTGAACCCCACCAACAATGGAATTGAACCAAAGTTGGCACAGAAAACTCCCATGATCAACAGAAAATACTGGAAGGGCTTGGTGGGCATTGACCTTGGGTATGGGAGTTGTAGTTCGCCTACATCCAGAGAGCACTATGGGCTGAAACAATGATGGATCTGGACCAAACTTGGCACGGATACTCAATATGCCCAAATGTGAACACTGATGGGGTTTGGGGAAAATAGACTTTGACATTTGGGAGTTGTAGATACTGGAATTTATAGTTCACCTACAATCAAGGAGCATTCTGAACCCCACCAATGAATTGGGCTAAACTTCCCACACAGAACCCCCATGACCAACAGAAAATATTGTGTTTTCTGATGGTCTTTGGCGACCCCTCTGACACCCCTTCATGAGCCCCTCAGGGGTCCCGACCCCCAGGTTGAGAAACACTGATATACAGACATACACAGAGGCTATTTAACTTTTTCTGGCCGCCAGGGGTATGTAGTTGGCTCTTCTCCACACTCGCATGTCAAGGATTCCACTTTGTGGCCCCATTCCTTGAGGTTGGCTCTGCATCTCGTGGTGCCAGAGTGCAGTTTGTTCAGCGCCTTCCAAGTCGCCCGGTCCTCTGTGTGCCCAGGGGGGAGTCTCTCATCTGGTATCACCCACGGACTGAGGTTCTGGGTTTGAGCCTGCCACTTTTGGACTCTCGCTTGCTGGGGTGTTCCAGCAAGTGTCTCTGTAGATCTTACAAAACTGTTTCTTGATTTGGTGCATGTGGCGGGGCTCAGGGTGCATTGTAGTCGGTGGTCTGTGGTTTGCTCTCCTCCGCACTCACATGTCGTGGACTCCACTATGAGGCCCCATTATTTATTTATTTATTTATTTATTTATTTACTTATTTACAGCTTTTCTATTCCGCCCTTCTCCTCACCCCGCAGGGGACTCAGGACGGATTACAGTGTACACATATATGGCAAACATTCCATGCCAGTTTTGACATACAACGTATACAGACATATGCAGAGGCTATTTAACTTTTTCTGGCCGCCAGGGGAGCTGTCGCTTTCCTCGCCCATCTGCGACGCTGATGAAGCACTTCCGCATTCCCCGCATGCTTCCCCGCTGGAATGCTTTGCTGGAGTCTTCTTTATGGCCTCATAAATCAGTTAATTTAGCCTCCCCACACTTTTTAAGGTGGTACCTTATTTTCCTACTTGACAGATGCAACTGCCTTTCGGGTTGCAAAGGTCGACAACAGGCTACACAATCCAACCCGGGCTGGCTTCGAACTCATGACCTTTTGGTCAGAGTGATCTTAATACAGCTGACACTCAGCCAGCTGCGCCACAATCCTGGTTTGGTAGGAAGAGGTTGGCCACTCACCCATACCTTGGGCTCTGCACTAACCCGTCACACAGAAAAGATGTTTTCCAAAATGACACCTTTTTAGGCAACATTCGCATCATTTTGGGAGGGACAGCCTAGGAAAAAGGAGTTGTCTGTAGTTGCTGGGGGGTGGGGGAATTGACCCCTTCATACTGGTCCACTGTTTAACATGTAGCTCCTGCCACCAAAACTAGTGGTCAAGGGTTATGGGAGCTATCGTTCAGAAATACCTGGAGAGCCACAGGTCTCCTGGACCCAGCACCTCCTATTTACAGATCTTTGAGAAATGTTGTTCCTGGTGTGAAAGTGTTGTTTCCTGCTTAATTGCACGGTCCTTCCTTGGAAAGTAGTTGCTCTACTCCAGAAAGGTTGTTGTTTTTATGGCTGCCACGAATTATGTCTTATTGATTGAGACTCTTTATCAGATATTCATTGGAAAACTAGAGCAAAATGTGCTGCAGGGTGACGTCCCTCCCGCAAAAACAAAGTATTTGCACTTTTGTAAACTTTCCCCATGTTTTTATGACACGCCCAATCGGGAAATGACCTTTACAACCCAGGAACAACCGTTGTGTTGCGGAGTGTTATCGAATCGTAGGGTTGGAAGAGACCTCCTGGGCCATCCTCCAGTCCAACTCCATTCTGCCAAGAAGCAGGAATATTGCATTCAAAGCACCCCTGACAGATGGCCATCCAGCCCCTGGTTAAAAGTTTCCAAAGAAGAAGCCTCCACCACACTCCCTCTGGGGCAGAGAGTTCCACTGCTGAACATCTCTCACAGTCATAAAATCCTAGAGTTGGAAGAGACCTGGTGGGCCATCATCCAGTCCAACCCCATTCTGCCAAGAAGCAGGAATATTGCATTCTAAGCACCCCTGACAGATGGCCATCCAGCCTCTGTTTCAAAGCTTCCAAAGAGAGAACCTCCACCACACAGAGAGGCAGAGAGTTCCACTGCTGAACGGCTCTCACAGTCAGGAAGTTCTGCCTCATGTTCAGATGGAATCTCCTTTCTTTCCTGTAGTTTGAAGCCCATGTTCCATTGAGTCCTAGTCTCCAGGGAAGCAGAAAGGAAGCTTGCTCCCTCCTCCTCCCTGTGGCTTCCCCTCACATATTTATACATGGCTATCATGTCTCCTCTCAGCCTTCTCTTCTTCAGGCTAAACATGCCCAGCTCCTTAAGCCACTCCTCATAGGGCTTGTTCTCCAGACCCTTGATCCTTTGAGTCCCCCTCCTCTGGACACATTCCAGCTTAGAGTCAATCTCTCTCTTGAATTGTGGTGCCCAGAATTGGACACAGTATTCCAGGTAACATGGTCTAACCAAAGCAGAATAGAGCATGGGGAGCAGGGAAGTCCTAGGGAGGAGGGAGCAAGCTTCCTTTCTGCTTCCCTGAAGACTAGGACGCAATGGAACAAGAGAGGAGATTCCATCTGAACATGAGGAAGAACTTCCCCGGACGATCTTAATGTCCTAACTGGGGTTGGACTGGATGATGGCCCACCAGGTCTCTCCCAATTCTAGGATTCTATAATTCTGTGAGATGGCCATAAGTTGGAGATATCTTGAGATGTTTTAGATGACCATCAGTTGAGATACCTTGAGATATCTTAGATGATTTCCATGGCTTCAAGTGACAGGAAAGGAGATTCCACCTGAACATGAGGAAGAACTTCCTGATTGTGAGAGCCGTTCAGCAGTGGAACTCTCTGCCCCAGAGGGAGTGTGGTGGAGGCTCCTTCTTTGGAGGCTTTTAAACAGAGGCTGGATGGCCATCTGTCGGGTGCTTTGAATGCAATATTCCTGCTTCTTGGCAGAATGGGGTTGGACTGGATGATGGCCCAGGAGGTCTCTTCCAACTCTGTCTGGAGGGATCGGATGGTGTCTTCTTGCCTGGCAGAGAGGGGTGGACTAGGTGGCCATTGGAGGTCTCTTCCAACACTACGATTCTATGGAATTATTATAATATATGTTATTAATATATTATTATTATTATTATTATTATTATTATTATTATTATTACCATCATCATCCTGGTTGTGATATTGATCCTGTATTGCTTTCTATCATATCTATGGCTGAATTGCCATCTGTCAGGAGGGATCAAATGGTGTCTTCTTGCCTGGCAGAAGGGGTGGACAAGATGGCCTTTTAGAGGTCTCTTCCAACTCTACGATTCTATGGAATTATAACTCTAGGATTGTATGATTCTATGAAACATCAGGAGAAAATGCTGCTAGAACATGGCCGTACAGCCTGGAAACCACACAACACCCTTTGCTTTTTCTGTTTCTATCAGGGACAACATTTCATGACGCCATTGTACGCAATGGGGAGGTTGGAGCCTCCCTGGGTTTCAGTGGGAGCAGGACCGTGTGATGGGTCCCGTTTCTCCCTTTCTTGGGCAGAGACGATGACCAGGTTCCCTCATTCCCCCCCCCCCCCCCCGCCTCTTTCCTCAAGAACTTCCTGACTGTGAGAGCCGTTCAGCGGTGGAACTCTCTGCCCCGGAGTGTGGTGGAGGCTCCTTCTTTGGAAGCTTTTAACAGAGGCTGGATGGCCATCTGTCAGGGGTGATTTGAATGCAATATTCCTGCTTCTTGGCAGAATGGGGTTGGACTGGATGATGGCCCACGAGGTCTCTTCCAACTCTTCTAGGATTCTAGGATTCTATGTTCAGCAGTGGAACTCTCTGCCCCGGAGGGAGTGTGGTGGAGGCTCCTTCTTTGGAAGCTTTTAAGCAGAGGCTGGATGGCCATCTGTCAGGGGTGATTTGAATGCAATATTCCTGCTTCTTGGCAGAATGGGGTTGGACTGGATGATGGCCCACGAGGTCTCTTCCAACTCTTCTAGGATTCTAGGATTCTATGTTCAGCAGTGGAACTCTCTGCCCCGGAGGGAGTGTGGTGGAGGCTCCTTCTTTGGAAGCTTTTAAGCAGAGGCTGGATGGCCATCTGTCAGGGGTGATTTGAATGCAATATTCCTGCTTCTTGGCAGAATGGGGTTGGACTGGATGGCCCACGAGGTCTTTTCCAACTCTTTGATTCTATGATTCTATGATTCTATCCTGCAACATCATAAGTTTGTGGATTGCAAAGGAAGATAGAGGCTTTAAACAGAGGCTGGATGGCCACCTGTCAGGGGTGATTTGAATGCAATATTCCTGCTTCTTGGCAGAATGGGGTTGGACTGGATGGCCCATGAGGGCTCTTCCAACTCTTTGAACTGTGAGAGTTGTTCACAGTGGAACTCTCTGCCCCGGAGTGTGGTGGAGGCTCCTTCTTTGGAAGCTTTTAAGCAGAGGCTGGATGGCCATCTGTCAGGGGTGATTTGAATGCAATATTCCTGCTTCTTGGCAGAATGGGGTTGGACTGGATGATGGCCCAGGAGGTCTCTTCCAACTCTTTAATACTATGATTCTATGATTCAGCAGTGGAACTCTCTGCCCAGGAGTGTGGTGGAGGCTCCTTCTTTGGAAGCTTTTAAGCAGAGGCTGGATGGCCATCTGTCAGGGGTGATTTGAATGCAATATTCCTGCTTCTTGGCAGAATGGGGTTGGACTGGATGATGGCCCACGAGGTCTCTTCCAACTCTTCTAGGATTCTAGGATTCTATGTTCAGCAGTGGAACTCTCTGCCCCGGAGGGAGTGTGGTGGAGGCTCCTTCTTTGGAAGCTTTTAAGCAGAGGCTGGATGGCCATCTGTCAGGGGTGATTTGAATGCAATATTCCTGCTTCTTGGCAGATGGGGTTGGACTGGATGGCCCATGAGGTCTCTTCCAACTCTTTGATTCTATGATTCTATGATCTATTCGAAATGCTTTCAGATTGTGGTGGAGGCTCCTTCTTTGGAAGCTTTTAAGCAGAGGCTGGATGGCCATCTGTCAGGGGTGATTTGAATGCAATATTCCTGCTTCTTGGCAGAATGGGGTTGGACTGGATGATGGCCCACGAGGTCTCTTCCAACTCTTCTAGGATTCTAGGATTCTATGTTCAGCAGTGGAACTCTCTGCCCCGGAGGGAGTGTGGTGGAGGCTCCTTCTTTGGAGGCTTTTAATCAGAGGCTGGATGGCCATCTGTCGGGGGCGATTTGAATGCAATATTCCTGCTTCTTGGCAGAATGGCGTTGGACTGGATGATGGCCCATGAGGTCTCTTCCAACTCGTGGATTCTATGATTCCCGGCAGGGCTTCTCTGCGCTGCACACGGCGGCCTTGCGCGGGCGCCTGGACTGCATCGAGGTCATGGTGGAGCGCTACGGAGTGGACGTGAACCTTCCCAGCCTGACCGGGTGGTGCCCCGTCCACCTGGTGCTCAGCAAGGAGAACGGGGCCCGGGCCCTCGAGTGCCTCAAGTTCCTCATCAGCAAAGGGGCCAACGTCAACGTGTGAGCACCAGGAAGGGGGGGGGGGGCAGGGTTGAACCCCAATTGGGAGCCTTACAATCCAGATGCAATGGGCAAGGCATGGATTGTGCTATGTCACAAAACTTGCAAAATGTTCTGTCCCTGGTTTGAAAGGGTTGTTTCCTGTTTAATTGTGTTGTCCTTTGAAAGTTAAAAACTTGGCATGATGCTAAATGTCCTTTGACCAATAGCTGGCCACTTGGGGTGCCCCTGGTGTTGCTGTGAGAAGGTCCTCCTTTGTGCATGTGGCAGGGCTCAGACTGCATTGTATTAGGTGGTATGTAGTTGGCTCTTCTCCACACTCACATGTCATGGACTCCACTTTGTGGCCCCATTTCTGAAGGTTGGCTCTGCATCTCGTGGTGCCAGAGCGCAGCCTGTTCAGCACCTTCCAGGTAGTCCACTCTTCTGTGCGCCCAGGAGGGAGTCTGTCATCTGGTCTCAGCCACTGATTGAGGTTCCAGGATTGAGCCTGCCACTTTTGGACTCTCGCTTGCTGAGGTGTTCCAGCAAGTGTCTCTGTAGATCTTAGAAAACTATTTCTTGATTTAAGTTGTTGACGTGCTGGCTGATACCCAAACAGGGGATGAGCTGGAGATGTCACTGCCTTGGTCCTTTCACTATTGGCTGCTCCTTCCCGGCGGATGTCAGGTGGTGCAATACCAGCTAAGCAGTGTAATTTCTCCAGTAGTGTGGGTTGCAGACACCCTGTGATAATGCGGCATGTCTCATTAAGAGCCACATGCACTGTTTCAGCATGGTGAGATGTGTTCCACACTGTGCAGCAGAGTAGCCAAGGGCAAGGGCAATGTCTTCACTGTGTCTGGTTGTGATCCCCAGGTTATGCCACTCAGCTTTCATATGATGTTGTTTCTAGCACCCACTTTTTGCTTGATATTCAGGCAGTGCTTCTTGGTCAGAGCACGGTCCAGAGTGACTCCCAGGTATTTGGGTGCACTGCAATGCTCCCATGGGATTCCTTCCCAAGTAATCCTGAGAGCTCCAGATATTTGTCTGCTCTTAAGATGAAAAGCACATGTATATGTTTTAGATCGGTTAGGAATCAGCTAGTTTACCCTGTAATAGGCAGTAAGAGCACCTAGAGCCTTGATGGTGAACCTATGACACGCGTGTCAGCACTGACACGCATGGCTATTTTTGATGACACACGGCCACATGCGGCCGCATACAATTACACCTTATAAGAGCCAATCTAATTCCATCCTTAAATTTGTAAAAGGCTCTACGAATTTAACATCTGCACGTTTGAGGTCCTAGAGCTTCGGAGCTTCCAACATTTCAAAGCTTTCCTGCTTGGGTGGTGATGGCACAATCGTCAGCATAGATGAAACTCGGTTGGTTGGTTGTGAAAGAGGGCAGGCAAAGAAACCCAGGGCTCTGAACACACAAATGAGGGGCTCCAGGGATGATTTTCAGTGCCTCCTTCTCTGCTCCGTCTGAAGTTTGGGGAATTGTGGGAGTTGGCGTCCAAAACACCAGGAGGGAGGGAGGGAGGGAGGGAGGGCTGAAGTTGGCTCATGCCGCCTTGAAGGGAACCCCTGACCCCCCGGGCCCTCCCTTTGCAGGCGGAACAACAACGGGATGTCTCCGCTGCACCGGGCGGCCAGCGAGGGCCACGACAAGTGCGTCCGGGCCCTGATCCGCGCCGGAGCAGACGTCAACGCCAAGGACGGCGAGGGGCAGAAGCCCATTGACCTGGCCAGGATGTGGGGCCAGCGGGCCTGCGCCAAGTGAGTCCTGCGCTTCCAAGGGTCGTGGGCACGAGGAGTCCCGTGGGCCCCAACAGTGGGCTCAAGCGCAGAGAGGACCGTCTTTGTGAGAACCTAGAGATGGCCTTTCCCACACCACATAGTCATGGCGCTTTGCCCCAGTTTCAGCTGCCATGGCTGCGTCTCGTGGAGCCCTTTGGCTCAGAGTCCTATCTCTCTCTCTCTCTCTCTCATCTATCTATCTATCTATCTATCTATCTATCTAATCTATCTCTATCTATCTATCTATCTATCTATCTAATCTATCTATCTACCTACCTACCTACCTATTTACTTACTTATTTATTTATTAACTTACTTACTTATTTACTTACTTATTTAATTACTTATTTATTTATTTACATATTTATTTACTTATTTACTTACTTATTTACTTAGTTACTTATTTATTTACTTAGTTACTTACTTATTTATTTATTTATTTACTTATTTATTTGCTTACTTACTTATTTACTTACTTATTTACTTACTTAGTTACTTACTTACTTATTTATTTATTTACTTAGTTACTTAGTTACTTACTTATTTACTTAGTTACTTACTTATTTACTTACTTACTTATATTTATTTATTTACTTACTTATTTATTTATTTGTTTACTTACTTATTTATTTACTTAGTTACTTACTTACTTAGTTACTTACTTATTTATTTACTTACTTATTTATTTACTTACTTATTTATTTACTTACTTATTTATTTACTTATTTATTTATTTACTTACGTACTTATTTATTTATTTACTTACGTACTTATTTATTTACTTACTTAGTTACTTACTTACTTATATTTATTTATTTATTTACTTACTTATTTATTTACTTAGTTACTTACTTATTTACTTAGTTACTTATTTATTTATTTACTTATTTATTTGCTTACTTACTTATTTACTTACTTATTTATTTACTTATTTACTTACTTAGTTACTTACTTACTTGCTTACTTATTTATTTATTTATTTATTTATTTACTTAGTTACTTACTTATTTACTTACTTATTTACTTATTTATGTATTTACTTACTTATTTACTTATTTACTTACTTACTTACTTATATTTATTTACTTACTTACTTACTTACTTATATTTATTTATTTACTTACTTACTTACTTACTTACAGCTTTTCCATTCCGCCCTTCTCCTCACCCCGCAGCAGGGGCCTCAGGGCGGATTGCAATGTACACATACATATGGCAAACATTCAATGCCAATTTTTGACATACAAACATAGACAGACATACACAGAGGCTATTTCACTTTTTCTGGCCGCCAGGGGAGCTGTCGCTTTCCTCGTCCATCTGCGCCGCGGATGAAGCACTTCCGCATTCCCCGCATGCTTCCCCACTGGAATGCTTTTGCTGGAGTCTTCTTTATGGCCTCGTAAATCAGTTAATTTAGCCTCCCCACACTTTAAGGTGGTACCTAATTTTCCTACTTGACAGATGCAACTGTCTTTTGGGTTGCAAAGGTCGACAACAGGCTACACAATCCAACCCGAGCTGGCTTCGAACTCATGACCTTTTGGTCAGAGTGATCTTAATGCAGCTGACACTCAGCCAGCTGCACCACAATCCCGGTGCTTTTGGCTCACAGAACTACAAATCCCACGTGTTGTCTCTCTGCAGGAGCCTCATGGACGCCATGTGGAAAGTGGAGAAGGCCCACGTGGCGAAGGAGAAGTGCAAACTGAACGGGATCAAGGCGGAGATTGAGGCCAGGAGGAGGCAGTTCCTGCAGAAGGAGCAGGTCAGTTCCACTCTTACGACCCTTGTTTGGCTCTCCGGCCTAAAGGGCAGCCTTGGCTTCTTGGCCAGAGGCTGATGGGAAAAGTCTTCCTTCGTGATGGGTGTGGCCCTTCCCTGGGGGCCCCTGCGTTTCCGTTGCAGACGGAGGTGGACGCCTGCAACGCGCTGGCCTTTGAGGGCTGGCTGGCCAAGAAGCGCCTAAGCCCCCCCTCCCACCGGATCCTGTCTTACCTGGAGAAGAGGCGCCTCTCCGTCTCGCTCCGCAAGTTCTCCAGGGGGGCGGTCAGCCCCACGGTGTCCTTCGTGCCCCCGCCGGCCCCGCAGGAGAAGGTCCGCACCAAGGAGCGAGGGCTCCGGCCCTGGAACCCCAGCACCAGCCTCTCCTCCCGGCCGGCCACGCACATCTACCGGCCCACCGCCGTCCGGCTGGGGGTCGAGCCCGAGGAGGCCGCGTCCCCGGACTTCTCCTCCTTCCTCTTCCTCGCCCGCAACGCCTTCGGGGGGCCCGAGATCCGTGTGGCCCCCGCGGGGAGGGTGCCCTTGGTGCCGGACCTGCCCTTGGAGGAGCTGAGGCGCGGGCTGTTCCCCCAGCGCTGGCCGCCCCGCCTGCGCCTCCCTTGGGACCTGCGCCCCATGGACATCCAAGGGCTGAAGCACAGGCGGGAGCCCCAGCCCCAGCACCGCTGGACCGACCAGCTGGCCCTCAGCCTGCGCCAGGCGCTGGACCCCGCCTGCGCACGCACCCTCCGCGCACACCTCTGCTTCCTCACGGGGGCCCCCTCCCCGGGGCCCAGGAGGGACTCCGGACAAGGGGCCACCACCTCCTCCTCCTCCTCCTCCTCCTCCTCGCACTCCACTTCCCTCCTCAGCAAAGGCAGCAGCACCCGCCAGGAATAGCCGTCCACTCCTCTCAGGCTTGGACTCGCTCTCATCTAATTTTCAAAAGGCAAACTGCCCCCAATTGTATTGGCAGAGAAGAGCGGGCATTGGGGTGCTGAAGGGCATGCTCTCCCCCCCCACCAGTGCCCCCCAAGACAAAAGAAATAGCATTAAACCAGGAGTCTGTTTCTGAACTCTCGTGTCATCACCCAGCCTGTGATGGGCTTGGAGGGTTTGCACCAGAGAGGGCCCGGCGTGGGGTTTGGGAGATGGGGGTGGATCCTGGGCACTTAGGGAGGAGGTCAGTTATGCAGCCCATTGTCCTGCAGTAGCCATCCTCCCATTTGGTGTTGCAATGTGTTTGAGTGGCCAGTGGGTTGCCCTGGGAAGGAATGCCCTCCCGCCACAGCCTTGCAATCGTAGCGTCCGAGGAGGCCCCAGGGGCCACCCTTTCTGCCAGGCATGGAAAGCACACTCAAAGCAGGTGGCCACCTGGCCTGTCCAAAAGCCTCCCCTGGGCTCCCAAGGCAGGGGGTTCCACTGTTGAACAGCTCTTCTTATGGTCAGAGAGTTCTTCCTAATGCTCAGGTGGAATCGCCCTTCCTGGGGGCTTTAGCAACCGGAGCCTTTATCCCCTCCCGGAAAGGAGCCTCAGGATGCGGCTTTCACTCTGTTCTGAACCCAAGAGGAGAAAGAAAACCTGAGGACCAGCATGTTGCTGGAGGTCGGGAGGGCCCAGGGCCAGAAGCCTTGCAGAAGAGGGCACAGCTGGGAAAGAAAGTGCAATCTGGACCTTTTTACAGCCGTGGGGTCAGATAATCCATGGGATGTTTGGATTCCACCCAGTCGCACTGAGCATGCGGTTTGTCTGTGGCAAAGGTCTCTACCCTGGAGAGTAGGACACAAAAGGAGCCATGGGCTCACGCTACAGGAAAGGAGTTCCTGCCTGGGCATTAGGAAGAGCTGTGGAGTCTCTTTCCCTGGAGAGAGCTGGTCTGGGGGGCCCTTGGAGCCTCTTCCAACTCTAGGATGCTGTGAACTTAGAAGGAAAGCCCCAAGGTCCCACCCGGCCACCCTCAGCCCCGTTCAGATTCAGGACCACCTGGGATGCCCCGATGGAGTCAATGCCGCTCTAACGCAGCCTGCCTTCCTCTTTCCAAACGCCTTGCCCTTGAAGGACCCGTGTCATCTCGGGGTGCCCTTCATCCTGAAATCCAAAATACTCCCAAACTCTCCACCTGGGCGGCTGAGAGAGCGGTGCATTTGCTTTCTGAAGGTTGAATGTACACAAACTTGGCTTCGTACATAAAATTGCTAAAAATAGTGTCCTAGAATCATAGAGTTGGAAGAGACCTCGTGGGCCATCCAGTCCAACCCCCTTCTGCCAAGAAGCAGGAATATTGCCTCCCGGTTATGTGTATTTGGTGATTATGGAGTGCAAAATAATTCTGCCTTTTGGCGTGGGTGTCACTCCCACACTCCTGGTCCAAGCAATTTGGATGAAGGGTAAAAAGTACAGGTAAGGGTTTCCCCTCAACACAAAGTCCAGTCATGTCCAATTCTGGGTGGTGGTGCTCACCTCCATTTCTAAGCTGAAGAGCTGGCGTTGTCCAGAGACACCTCCAAGATAACATGGCCAGCATGACTGCATGGAGCACCATTAGCGGTTCCTATTGATCTACTCACATTTGCATGTTTTGGTTGGCAGGAGTTGGAGCTAACCCAGATCAGAAGCACCAACCATTCTGGAAGCAATTTGAGCAGCTCAGTGGTATGACCCGCTGCACCACCCGGGGGGGGGGGGGGGGGGGGGGGGGGGGGGGAGGGGGCTTAGATTACAGGTACTGAGGCATTTATAGTAAATGAACTGGTTTCAGGGGACTGAACCACAGATTCGCGAATTAAAAGGATGCATCTACTATTTCTGCCTTTGCTTCTGAGGCCAAGATCACCTCATGTTTTTTATTAACACGGAGCCTGTAGTGCTAAAACAGAGGCCACACCTCAACTGGCTTAAGAAAGGGGGAGATCTGGTGTCAGGTGAGATCCGGGCACCCCTCCCGGACCCTCCCCTCCCACACGCGCCCATCCAGAGCAAGGAGAGCAGCGTCCTGCCCCCCCCCCCCCCCCCCCCCCCCCCCCCGGATATGTCCCCACCCTCTGCACCAGGCGAGGGGCCCTTGCAAGGGGGTGGGCAAGGGGCGCCAGGGGCTTCCTTTCTGAGAAGCCAAGCGCGGAAGGAGAGGGGAGGCCCAGAAGCTTGTGCAAATCGCCACCTCTCGATTATTACACCACACAAAAGCAGTTCACAGAAGCAACCCTTGCCCCCAGGTGTCCTCAGGCAGCAACGGAGGGAGGGGGGGCTGACTTCCTGATCAAGGTGGGGGAGGGAGAGAGGGGTCTCCCCAGGACAGGGTCCATCCGTTGTCTCTGGAAATGCCTTGCAAGACGGGCCAAGCAGCGCCCTGCCCATCGGGTCTCTGTCTGTGTCACACAGGAAGTGCCTACAGGTGCCGAGCCCGTAGGAAGCAGCTAGGAAGAAGAGCTCCCTGGGGGGGAAATGGCAGGTTCCTTGACAGAAAGCCCTGAGGCCACTCCACGGAATGCCTTCACAACGAAGCAGAGGAGAGACCCATGGAGGAAGTCCCTTTTCAGAAAGAAGGTCTTGGCTCCCACAAGACGACAACAGGATCCTGCGGTTGCAGGAGGCGCCCTGGAGCACACCTAACTATACCAGAGTGTTCTGCGCAGCGGCCGCTCCAGCGCCTTCCTTGCGGAGTCCGACTGGGCAGGCGCCCCGCGTCCCTCGGGGGGAGGCTCAGGGAGAGGGGTCGGCCAGCGGAAGCCCCCACGGAAGGGCCGGGCGGAGGGCCAGTCAATACATCTTCTGGCGGCTGGGCAAGATGGCTTCCTTGATGAAGGAGAAGATGACCAGGATCCCGGAGCGCTTGCCCCGCTTCCCTTTCGTGAAGTAGTTCGAGACCACGTCGTCTGAGAGGCCAGAAAAGGGAAAGAGGAGAAGGCGGTCAGAGCAGCCCTTGACCCGCCTGCCCACCGCCAGAGCCCCATCGGGGGTTTGCACCAGCGCCAAGGCCGTGAGGGCAGCGGCCATGCTTCCTCAGAGGGAATGGCCAGAGCCAAGGCTTCACCTCTGGGCAAGGCAAGGAGGGGTGCCCCAAAGGAGGCTGGACTGGCCGCTGCGTAACTGAGCGCATGGCTCTGCCCTGCCGTTGGCGTCACCAACACGCAACAGCACTCTCCCGCAATCCCAGTGCCATGCCTGGCTCTGCAGCCAGCCAAGAGGGCATCGGTTCTAGTGCCTGACATCTGGGGCTGCGATCTTGTTGGCAAGGCTCAGCCAGAGTTTGTTTGTTTGTTTGTTTGTTTATTCACGGCACTTCTATCCCACCTTTCTCAAGCCTGAAGGCGACTCAAGCTGGCTTACAAATTGGGAGCCATTTGATGCCACAATAATCCACCACATACGATTAACACATTTACAACAACATAAAATCAATACAAAAGCATTAAAACCATTCCTGTTAATCTCATTTTCCAGTAGCATCGTCTAGGCCGTTCCATGTTTCAAACTTACACAACCCTGTCTTGGTCTATTGCGCTGCATTTCCAAAGCCTTGTTCAAAAAGCCAGGATTTTACTTTTTTTCAGAAGGTCAGGAGGGAGGGGGCCGATCTGATGTCCCTAGCTGAGGAAGGGGCCACCACAGAGAAGGAAGGAAGGCCCTGTCTCTCATCCCCACCAGGTGTGCCTGCGAAGAAGGCGGGACCGAGAGCAGGGCCTTCCCAGGTGATCTTAAATTCCTAGATGGTTCATAAGGAAGCTAAGCTTGGAACCCCAAGTTTCGGCGGTGTCCAGGGGAGCATTTGCACAACTCAAACTTGTGCGCCAGCTGCGCCCGTACCTTGGGAAGTCTGATTTGGCCACGGTAGTCCATGCTCTGGTTACATCCCGGATTGATTACTGCAACGCGCTCTACGTGGGGTTGCCCTTGAAGACTGCCCGGAAGCTTCAGATGGTCCAGCGCTCGGCAGCCAGGTTGCTAACGGGAGCGGCACTCAGGGAGCGTACCACTCCTCTGCTGAGCCAGCTCCACTGGCTGCCAATCCGCTACCGGGCACAATTCAAGGTGCTGGCTTTAGCCTATAAAGCCCTAAACGGTTCTGGCCCCGCTTACCTCTCCGAACGCATCTCCACCTATGAACCGACTAGAACATTAAGATCGTCTGGGGAGGCCCTGCTCTCGATCCCTTCTGCGTCACAGGCGCGCTTGGTGGGGACGAGAGACAGGGCCTTCTCAGTGGTGGCCCCTCGGCTATGGAATTATTATTTACTATTTATTTACTATTCTTGTATACCGCTGTATCTCAAGCCCAAGGGCGACTCACAGCGGTTTCCAGAAAGCAAACAACAGAGACAGTAAAAACAGCAGTAATCAATATATCATAACAGTTAAACTACACAATTCCATTTCTAGCAATAAACAACATCAATACACAATTGCCTTGCCGGCAGACATCAGACAGGCACCTTCGTTGCTGACGTTTCGGAGAATGGTCAAGACCTGGCTTTATGAACAAGCGTTTGGCTAAGCAATGCAACCAATCAAGGAAGACGGTAAATGGAACATAGGAACGGCACAAGGACTATGAGAACGGATCTGATTTCAACTGAGGCGTTATATATTGTAGCAGTCAGCGGAAAAGAATGATTATAAAAATATATTTAAAAAAAGAATATAGAAAAGCATACCTTGAAATACTAGCGAAGGAGTGTTTGCGGCAGGGAGAAGCAAAATGTTCCATAGACTAAAAGTAAGGGCTTCAGAGATCAAGGAAGTTAAATATTAACGGGAACATGACATTTGGGAAACAATAATAAAGTGAGATGTTTATCATCAAGGGAATGTTTCTGGCAACCAGACAAGGACGCTTGTGTAGATAATTGATCTGAAGATGGAAAAGGTCAGAGCAACATCTGGTGGTTCAGTGAGGTAAATAGCAGGTAACTTCAGATATATTACGAATATGGGAATAATTAAGATTTGAAATAATTATAAGTACGTCAATATAATATGTCATTGTGATGTATGGGAAAAGGTAATGCGAAATACCTCTGTTAATGTTTATATCTGTGTAAATGTCAAGACAGTTATACGCATGTCTAAGACCAGTGGATTTCTGCTATAAATATTGCAACCTTACTGATTTTCAAGTACGCTTCAGATCATGCTTCTGAGCGTCCTATCATGATAGTAAATATGCCTGGAATCAAATTGCAGTCTCCGTCTCCTTCCTGCTTGATTGTGCTCTAAAAATGATCTCGGGTGAAGTATCTGCCGCGACAAATGGGGGCTCGTCCTGGGATCGGAGCCAACAAGAGGAATAGAGACGAAACCTTTTGAGGGTTTGATTGCCCCACTCAGCGGGTCGGGTAAGACGATGATCAGAAGGGGCGATACGGGTACCCATTGAGAGAAAACGACCCGGCTGATCTTCGCCTTCCCTGCCTCCAGACTGGGGTACATTGAGAGCTTTGATTCCATGGCACAGGTAAAGGAAAAGGCCTTAAAAAGGGGTACATTGGAAGTACCTGGGGAATATTTCACTGTGGGATTGCTGCAGAAATCAAGTGAAAACCCCCCGAGTGATTGTTTTCGCTACAGAAATCACACTCACAGGTTGGAGGAATACCCTTTCAGGGGGAAAGTGATAAGTCTGTTTTGTGTTTTGTGGTTAATGTTGTTTGTATCCATATGCTTTACCCCTTCTTGCTGCTTTGCAACCCTATGCACACATTTGTGTATCAATGCCTGTTTTTGTTGTGGAGATGTGTATAATGAAAAGAGACAAATGGTTTCAGGCTTCCGGGAAAAAGCCAAGATGGAAAAGAAAAAGAAAAATGAAAAATGAGAAAAATGAGAGAAAAAAGGAAACGCTACGTACAATGTGATGAAATGGTGCCTGTCTTTTGGGACAAGGAAAAATGTTCGTTTACATTTTCTGGACAACTTGAATGTATGTGGATGGCTAGCCAAAAAGGAATGTGTGGAAACTGTTTGTGTTGGGAAAAAAAAATATAATCTTTACAGGTTTCAAATAAAAAGAAAAAGAGGATAAATTCAGGAAAAATACACATGATGATGGAAAATGCCAAGTCTATATGTTTTCATGTGGGTAAGCAAAACCAAGAAGAAAATTAAAAGGTATGTGAAGAAGGTATGTGTAGGGAAAGCAGGGAAAAGCAAGTCAGAATAAGAGAATAGGGTTAATACGGGAGAAAAACCAAGATGTGTAATTGCCTAGGACAAGGTAGAATTGAAAGGAGAAATGTAGCCAGAGAATATAGAGAAAGTGATACAGTAGGTGATGAAATAATAGGAAGAAATGTAAAGATCTAGCATGTGCTTAATAATAGAAACCTGAAATATTGAGATGTGAATGAATAGATTCCCTTTTTGAAAGTTTAGATAAATGTGTGGAAATATTGCAGTTTAGAATAAGTGAATGCATGTATGAAGACAGATTTGGATGCATCAAGACTGTTATGTGAGGTTGATTATGTTTAATTATATGTTTAAGCATTTGATGGGTTAAAAAGAGAAAATAATGTGTTGAGAGTATTCAAGAATGGCCAACTTGAATGCCCTCACTGGGAAAAGGGAAAGGAAAATTTTTTGAAAAAGAAAAATTGAAACTGTCTCACACAGGAGAAAGGTAGTGACAATTTGAGATATATCTAAGCATAGAAGATTTTGTGGGAAGAGCAGTGACAAATTGAATGTTATGATTGACATGTACACCCCTCTTAAAAGTCCAAAATGTCGGTAACTGAATTGATAAGTGAATGAAGATAGATGAGGGTAATATGATGTGGAAGTAAAGGGGAATTAAGCATTAAGAAGTACAAATTTTGGAAATGTTAATGATTTTATGTTAGCCTGTTACAGTACCCTCTGTTGTGTTGGAAGACTCAGAGTGGCTGGGAAAATTTTTGGAAGTGTGATCCCTGTGAAAAAATTGGAAATGGTCTATTGCTTGATGAATGTCCTAATGCTATGAGGGGAATGCCAAATTGCGGATGAATTAAGCCTGCTTAAAAAGGAGATCATACAGTGGGGCCCTGACTTACAATTTAGGAGTTGATCAACTGAATAAAGAACTAATTACATCGTACATAAATAAGAAGATATTTCAAAGACTTAAAATATAAGAGGATAAAAGTTGGCTCTGAATAAGAGAGAGAGCCAACATCTGTAAGAAGAAAGAAGAAAGAAGATTGGATGGACTTTCAGGGTTGGGAGTGTGTTATTGTGGGACTCCTTATCATCTTGGGGTTGGTATGGATGTGTTACAATTACAGACATGTTTTTGGGGGAAAGCGTATTTATGTAGGCATGTGGTATATTTATTACCTGATTAAGTTGAGTGTACTCATCCCGAAGGTAGTACAAGGAGGGATGGGAACAAAAAAACATATTCCATCAGATGAGTCAGAATATAGCAAAAGAGACAGAAGTTACTGAGTGTTGGATTTGCAGTCATGGGCCTATTTCCCAGCGTGAGGGATGGCCACTAATGGTAGGAAACGCTATTAAGTTAAAAAGGATGAAGCACCTTACAGCCTCAAAATTATGAGATGATTGAAATCTTACTTGATCCAGAGCAGAGCTATAGTGACACATAAAGGGATCTCACCGGAGGCCCCAGCATGTATTACTTGGGAAAAAGATGAGAGATGGACACAAGACAGGGACAACCCTCTCCACACCCACCAAATAGAACTTGGTCATTATCCCAATTGCAATCTCCTTCTCCATGTATTTAAAACAGAGGCTTCTGAAGACATTAGCCTCTTAGCCCATTTAGAGCATTCTAAACGGATGGGAAAAATTTGATAGTGTTGTTTTACTAGAACTGGATACCCACATTAAACAGGCCCAGGAAAAAGCTGCCAGCAAAAACCGTGATCAGCCAAGGACCCCCAGCAGGGAGGTACCGCAGGGTCAAGGGGAACCCCCCTTTGAGAGACCACCAAATGAAAGATCACAGCAGAGTCAAGGGGAACCAAATCCTGCCAGAATGGTAAAGGAGGTGGAAACCCGTTAGGCTGTGCCAAAAAGTCTCTGGTAACAAAGGGAAGGTTACCCTCCCCGGGCTGTATCGGATTTGCGGACAGTGGGCAGGAAAGATTTTGCCACCTTTTTGGGTTGGAACATGCACGATAGGTATCCTAATGCTAGCAGATGTGATAATATATAGAATAACCATCCTAAATGATTTGGAAAAGAAAACAATTTTTAAAAAGGGAGTTTATGATGAAGAGGTTGGATATGATCCAGACAGAACTTATTTAAATGAAGGAGAAAGGTTGGGAGCCATCTTGTTCCCTGCTATGGGCTTAGCTTTGAATATAAGACAGATTTGGAAACTCTCAGCTCAAGTTGAAAGGTTGGAAAGAAAAAACTGTGGCTGGAATAAGGGCTTTGCAGCTATAATGATAAGACCTCTTTATGAAGTTACAAAGGGGGGTGAAAGGGAACCATTTAATTGGACCCCAAATTTGCCCAAACATTTGCATAGTTGAAAGCAAGCTTTGATGCAAGCATCGGCCTTGGGCTTGTTTGAATTGAAGATGCCATTCATATTTTATGTTGGTGAATGAGATGAAATAACAGGAGGGGTGCATACCCAGCTATTAGGAACCTGGCCGAGACCAGTAGCTTACTTGTTTAAGCAAATTGACCCTGTAGCAAAAGGTTGACCAACTGGTCTATGTGCTGTAGTTGCTATGGCCTGGCTGACTCAGGAAGCTGATAAATTGACTTTGGGACAAGAGTTGATAGTTAAAACCCTCATTCAGTAATGGCTATCATGAACTATAGAGGATATCATTGGTTCATAAATAGCCATATGCAAAAATATCAGATTTTATTATGTGAAAACTCTTAAATCAAGTTACAGACTTGCAGTATATTAAAGTCTGGTTCACTTCTGCTTGTTGAAAGGGAAATGCTTCAACATGATTGTTTAGAAATTATGTATGAGATATATTCCAATAGATCTGATATAAAAGATTAACCATGGCCTGAGGTAGATGCCACTCTTTTTACAGATGGAAGTAGTTTGGTTGAAAAAGGAAAAAGATATGCTGGATATACAATAATAACTATAACTACTGTGTGGGAAATAGAACCACTTCCTCTAAATGCTCCAGCTCAGAGGGCAGAACTGATAGCACTCATTAGAGCTCTGGAGTTATTAGAAGAAAAAATAGTCAACATGTATACAGATTCTAGATATACATTCACTACCTTATATGCATGTGGAGCATTATATAAGGACAAGGGACTACTAAATTCTGTTGGGAGAAATATAACATAGTGAGACCATTTTGAAATTATTAGATGCTGTTTGAGTTCCTGCATCAGTAGCAGTAATGCACTGCAGAGTACATCGATGTGACGAGGAATGTGTGACCTATGGAAACTGGTAGACTGGATACCACAGCAAAGGCCGCGACCCGAAAGGGACGAGGAAAAGAGCTGGTCATAGCCCCTTTGCAGATAAAAGACTGGATACATTATACTAGAATAAGGAAAGCATCACTCGAAGGGACTGTGACTCTTGATCCAAAGGATTCCTTTGAGACTTTGTATCATCAAACCAGCAGTGCCAGAAGGAGGACTACGGCTCTGGTTTTGACTACATCTGAACGCGGGTTAAATACATCAGACAGAAGAATGAGGAGCACTGTGAAGATGCCAACGTGTATGGAACATTCTTCAATAACTGTGATAAATGATTGTGTTAAAATGTTATTTTTGCTAAAAATGTAATTGCGTGAGTTTGCGAGTCTACTGTGGAACATCCGCTCGCAAAAAGGGGGGAATGTAGCAGTCAGCGGAAAAGAATGATTATAAAAATATATTTAAAAAAAGAATATAGAAAAGCATACCTTGAAATACTAGCGAAGGAGTGTTTGCGGCAGGGAGAAGCAAAATGTTCCATAGACTAAAAGTAAGGGCTTCAGAGATCAAGGAAGTTAAATATTAACGGGAACATGACATTTGGGAAACAATAATAAAGTGAGATGTTTATCATCAAGGGAATGTTTCTGGCAACCAGACAAGGACGCTTGTGTAGATAATTGATCTGAGGCTGGAAAAGGTCAGAGCAACATCTGGTGGTTCAGTGAGGTAAATAGCAGGTAACTTCAGATATATTACGAATATGGGAATAATTAAGATTTGAAACAATTATAAGTACGTCAATATAATATGTCATTGTGATGTATGGGAAAAGGTAATGCGAAATACCTCTGTTAATGTTTATATCTGTGTAAATGTCAAGACAGTTATACGCATGTCTAAGACCAGTGGATTTCTGCTATAAATATTGCAACCTTACTGATTTTCAAGTACGCTTCAGATCATGCTTCTGAGCGTCCTATCATGATAGTAAATATGCCTGGAATCAAAATTGCAGTCTCCGTCTCCTTCCTGCTTGATTGTGCTCTAAAAATGATCTCGGGTGAAGTATCTGCCGCGACAATATGTTGTTTTGTTGATTTGTCTTGTCTGATTGTTAATTGTTGTGGATCGATGTTGTTGATCCTGTTTGTTGCATTGTTATGTTTTAATTGCACTGTAAACCGCATTGAGTCGCCTGTCAAGGGCTGAAAAATGCGGTATAGAAATGGAGCAAATAAATAAATAATAAATAAAGGAGAGATACATTTGGACAGGTAAGCTGGGGCGGAACCATTTAGGGCAGGGGTCCTCAAACTAGCATACAGCCTTCCAAGGTCATTTACCCGGCCCTTGCTGAGGGTCAACCTAAGTCTGAAAGGACTTGAAAACACACAACAACAACATCAACAACAATCCTATCTCATCAGCCGAAAGCAGGCCCACACTTCCCATTGAAATACTAATAAGTTTATATTTGTTAAAATGGCTCTTCATTTTAATTATTGTATTGTTTTGAAGTGTTTTTTGCACTACAAATAAGATATGTACAGTTTGCATAGGAATTCATGGGTTTTTTTTCCAAATTATAATCCGGCCTTCCAACAGTTTGAGGGATTTTGACCTGGCCCTCTGCTTACAAAGTTTGAGGACCCCTGGCTTAGGTCTTTAGAGTTTAGAATTAAGCCCACTGAGTCCCTTGCTGAATGCTGAGCCAGCCAGCAGGCAAGCCTCTCTGATTCAGCCACTCTCCTCCAGCCAAGACTGGCAGCGGTATTTAGGCCAAGGTTAACAGGCCGCCCTTCTAGCCCTGGGGGGTTGCCAAGGCTGGAAGGAGGCACAAAAACAATCTCTTGGCCTCGAAGATGCCTTGAGGCAACCGGGGAAAGGGGCTGCAAGGCTGAGTGTGGGGCTCCTGCACCTCGAGCTGCTTGGTGCACAACTCAGATGGGGGCTGGAAGGGGAGCCTGGGGCCCGACCGCCTGCCACTCAATGGGGCCCCTGGGACTCACCTCCGGGCTGGACTGTGGACGGGAGCACGTTCTCCCCAGCTGACAAGGAGACAAAGAAGGCGAAGGGGACCAGCCACAGGCAGAAGGTGAAGTACGCCAGGACCTGGCCAGAAGGGAGCAAGAGAGAGAAAGAGAAAGAGGAATGATTGGGGAGGGAGAGGAATCCACTGGTGTCAACTGCCCCCTCTTTGGCCCCCCAAGCCACCCCCTTCTGAGGGGCTCCTGCAGGCTCTGGGGCTTCCTCCTGTGACATGGCATTCCCCCTTTCCTTCTGCTTCCTGCCTTACCAAGCATTACACTACGTCCTGGGTTTAAAAAATCATTATTTCCTAACTGGTTCTATCATAAAAATATGGGGAAAGTTTATTGAAATGCCAAAACGTTGCTTTTTGCGGGTGGGAGGGACATCATCCTGCTCTGGCCCATTTTGGTAGAGTTTTTCAATGCAGGACACTAGAGCGATTGCACATCTGGCTCTAGTTTTTCAATGAACATTATAGAATCCTAGAATCCTAGAGTTGGAAGAGACCTCCTGGGCCATCATCCAGTCCAACCCCATTCTGCCAAGAAGCAGGAATATTGCATTCAAAGCACCCCTGACAGATGGCCATCCAGCCTCATAGAATCATAGAGTTGGAAGAGACCTCCTGGGCCATCATCCAGTCCAACCCCATTCTGCCAAGAAGCAGGAATATTGTATTCAAAGCACCCCTGACAGATGGCCATCCAGCCTCATAGAATCACAGAGTTGGAGGAGACCTCCTGGGCCATCATCCAGTCCAACCCCATTCTGCCAAGAAGCAGGAATATTGTATTCAAAGCACCCCTGACAGATGGCCATCCAGCCTCATAGAATCACAGAGTTGGAAGAGACCTCCTGGGCCATCATCCAGTCCAACCCCATTCTGCCAAGAAGCAGGAATATTGTATTCAAAGCACCCCTGACAGATGGCCATCCAGCCTCATAGAATCCTAGAGTGGAAGAGACCTCCTGGGCCATCATCCAGTCCAACCCCATTCTGCCAAGAAGCAGGAATATTGCATTCAAATCACCCCTGACAGATGGCCATCCAGCCTCTGTTTAAAAGCCTCCAAAGAAGGAGCCTCCACCACACTCCCTCCGGGGCAGAGAGTTCCACTGCTGAACGGCTCTCACGGTCATAGAATCCTAGAGTTGGAAGAGACCTCCTGGGCCATCATCCAGTCCAACCCCATTCTGCCAAGAAGCAGGAATATTGCATTCAAAGCACCCCTGACAGATGGCCATCCAGCCTCTCTATTCAAAGCTTCCAAAGAAGGAGCCTCCACCACACTCCGGGGCAGAGAGTTCCACTGCTGAACGGCTCTCACAGTCAGGAAGTTCTTCCTCATGTTCAGATGGAATCTCCTCACTTGTAGTTTGAAGCCATTGTTTCGCGTCCTAGTCTCCAAGGAAGCAGAAAACAAGCTTGCTCCCTCCTCCCTGTGGCTTCCTCTCACATATTTATACATGGCTATCATATCTCCTCTCAGCCTTCTCTTCTTCAGGCTAAACATGCCCAGCTCCTTAAGCCGCTCCTCATAGGGCTTGTTCTCCAGACCCTTGATCATTTTAGTCGCTCTCCTCTGGACACATTCCAGCTTAGAGTCAATATCTCTCTTGAATTGTGGTGCCCAGAATTGGACACAATATTCCAGGTAAAGTGGTCTGACCAAGGCAGAATAGAGCATGGGGAGCAGGACTTCCCTAGATCTAGACACTAGGCTCCTATTGATGCAGGACAACATCCCATTGGCTTTACATTACGTCCTAAGTTGGATCAGTCTCCCCTGATCCAACCTAGTTTGTGGCAGCCACGAAAACAAGGTTTCCGGAGTAGAACCACCAGTTTGTAAGTAAGTCCTGCACAATTAAACAGGAAATAATACAATCAAACCAGGAACAGAGCCTTTTTCAAATTCCTACCATTTTTCCTAGGACTTAATTTCTCCTCCCAAGAAACTGACTGGTTCAAGATTGGGAAAGGCGTACGGCAAGGCTGCATCCTCTCACCCAACCTTTTTAACTTGTATGCAGAACACATCATGCGAGGATGTGCGGGGCTTGATGAATGCAAAGCTGGGGTGAAAATTGCTGGAAGAAACATTAACAACCTCAGATATGCAGATGACACCACTCTGATGGCCGAAAGCGAGGAGGAGCTGAAGAGCCTTCTAATCAAGGTGAAAGAAGAAAGCGCAAAAGCCGGGTTGCAGCTAAACGTCAAAAAAACCAAGATTATGGCAACAAGAATGATTGACAACTGGAAAATAGAGGGAGAAACCGTGGAGGCCGTGACAGACTTTGTATTTCTAGGTGCAAAGATTACTGCAGATGCAGACTGTGGCCAGGAAATCAGAAGACTTACTTCTTGGGAGGAGAGCAATGTCCAATCTCGATAAAATAGTGAAGAGTAGAGACATCAGACTGGCAACAAAGATCCGCCTAGTCCAAGCCATGGTATTCCCTGTAGTAACCTACGGATGTGAGAGCTGGACCTTAGGGAAGGCTGAGCGAAGGAAGATCGATGCTTTTGAGCTGTGGTGTTGGAGGAAAGTGCTGAGAGTGCCTTGGACTGCGAGAAGATCCAACCAGTCCATCCTCCAGGAAATAAAGCCCGACTGCTCACTGGAGGGAAGGAGACTAGAGACAAAGTTGAAGTCCTTTGGCCACATCATGAGGAGACAGCAAAGCCTAGAGAAGGGAATGATGCTGGGGAAAGCGGAAGGCAAAAGGAAGAGGGGCCGACCAAGGGCAAGATGGATGGATGGCATCCTTGAAGTGACTGGACTGACCTTGAAGGAGCTGGGGGTGGTGACGGCCGACAGGGAGCTCTGGCGTGGCTGGTCCATGAGGTCACGAAGAGTCGGAGACGACTGAACGAATGAACAACAACAAGAAAGCTGAAGTCCAACCTCAGCCTCCGCAGAGTCCTCTTGGCTTCTGGGGAGAGGTCCGGCCTCATTTGCTCCGGGACCCCTTTCTTGCTCTCTTGAGCGCCCCTGGAAGCCTTCCCCCAACCCCATGCCTCAATCGGTTTCCCTCCCGTCCACTTTCTTTCTTGACTCCCTGGCCTTCAAAGCCACACTTCTGGGTTGAGAATACAATGGCATGCCCCCCTCCCCGGCCTCAGCATCCAGAAAGCAGGGGCCTAACCCCCTGGGGCCAGTAGACGTGGAAGGCTGGCTCTCCCCCCTCCCTCGGCCCCAGGAAGCGCAGAACGCCCCCCCCCCCCTTTACCTCTGAGAAGGGATAATACTCTTCTGCAAAATACTGGAACGCCAGGTAGTGGTTCAGCACGACCAGCACTGAAAGGCAAATGGGAGGGTGAGAGAGATACCCCCCAGCACTGCCCACACACACAAACACACACAGAGATAGACACACTTCCAGCAGCTGTGCAAAACTGGCAAGTTGACCGAGTATTGTTTGCAGCCCTGAGTATGGAATCTGAGGCAAGAGCCATGATTCAGAGCGGCTCCGTTCTCATCAGGACCAAAAGGCACCATCCTAGCCCTCACTATAATAATAATAATAATAATAATAATAATAATAATAATAATAATCCTTTATTTGTACCCCGCTACCATCTCCCGAAGGACTCGGTGCTGCTTACAAGAGGCCGAGCCCAAATACAACAATAAAACAACAATAACAACACAATAACTCAAAAAACAAAGCAATAGCAAAGAATAGCAATACATAGGTTCTTGTAGTTTTTTTCGGGATATATGGCCATGTTCTAGAGGCATTCTCTCCTGACGTTTCACCTGCATCTATGGCAAGCATCCTCAAAGGTAGTGAGGTCTGTTGGAACTAGGAAAATGGTTTATATATCTGTGGAATGTCCCTGGTGGGACAAAGGACTCATGTCTGCTGGAGCTAAGTGAATGAAGGTGGTCAGCTGAAACATTCACACCTAGCTTCAGCAGAGAGCTCTTTGCCCCACCCCAGCCATTCCACAGATATATAAACCCATTTTCCTATTTCCAACAGACCTCACTACCTCTGAGGATGCTTGCCATAGATGCAGGCGAAACGTCAGGAGAAATGCCTCTAGAACATGGCCATATAGCCCGAAAAAAACTACAAGAACCTAGTGATTCCAGCCATGAAAGCCTTCGACAATACAATAGCAATACTTTAACAACATCCAATGACGCAATTAAAATAATGGCTGGGCCAAATGTAATAATTAAAATTAAAAATTTTAAAATGCTGGGCATGACAAGGTGGGGTGTTTGGAGGGGGGTGGGCATGCAGATATCCTGAATCTCTAATAAAGTGCGTTGGGACATAATGCTAGGAGTTTCCTTATTCTGGAAAGGCACACTGGAACAACCACGTTTTCAAGCTCCTCCTAAAGATTGCTAGCGATGGGGCCTGCCTGATGTCCTTAGGGAGAGAGTTCCAGAGTCGAGGGGCCACCACCGAGAAGGCCCTATCCCTCATCCCCACCAGTTGCGCTTGCGATGCCGGTGGGATCGTCAGCAGGGCACTCTCCAGATGAATGAAGGGATTGCATGGGTTCATATGCAGAGATGCGGTCATGCAGGTAGGTGGGTCCCAAACCGTTCAGGGCTTTGTAGGTAAGCACCTGCACTTTGAATTGGAAGAAGGCAGCCAGTGGAGCAGTGGACTATAGCCACTGAGGCCAGGGATGAGCAGCCAACCCTCTTCCTCCTTGGCTGCCTTCCTTCCTTTGAGGCCACTTCACCCTACGCTCAGGTCTGTGTCCAGAACCTGGATTCAAGGCAAAACAAACTGAGCAACTGGACTATTCCCAGGCCACCTACGTCTCTCTTTCAAATGGCACAATCAAAGCATTTTGATGCCATGGCTGCATCCCTGCAAGCAGCTGGGATGTGCAGTTTGAGGAGGGATTGGGGCTGTGGCAGAAAATTCTAAATCACCCACGGAACTATAAATCCCAGGGAGAGCTCTGGGTGCCTTTGGTGCGGTAGTGGTTGGGGGTGTGGAAGGAGGGGTTGTTGCTTTGTGGTGTGTGCTGGGGAAGGCTTTTATTTATTTGTTTGTTTGTTTGTTTGGCTTGTATACTGCTACTCCCAATTTGGCTCGGAGCTGTTTACAGCACTAGATTAAAACAATACAATTAACTTTAAAATACAATAAAACAAGAACAGACATAGTCCTGAGTCATTCACCCATCGAAAGCTTTTGATTTTGTTGTGCGATAGCAGAATGACAATAAAGCTAATCTATTCCTTGGTCCTCTCCTGGCAATGACGGGCTCCATAGAAAAGGCAACCACAACCCCACGGCGGGAACCTAGTCCTTTAGTGGTGTGAAGCTGAAAGAAGGCGAGCGTGGCTCCCACCCTCCTCCGCCTGACGTGGCTTGGGCTGCCGTCAACCCCTGATTGTGGGCTGAGCTCCCGGAGTGACTCACCGCAGGAGAGCATGAAGTTGGGGGAGGTGAGCATGATGAAGGGGAAGGTCTGCAGGAGCCCAAAGTAGACCAGGTTGGTGAAGAGACCCACGCCGACCATCAGGCCCGGGAAGCCCTCAAAGAGGTACAGGCACACCAGCACCGCCGTCGAGAACTGGCACAAGCACACACGCAGAGAGGGAGAGAAGCCCTGGGGTCAGCCCACAGTCCGCCATTCAGGATAGGCACCCCCCCTCCCGCAACCTTCTTCGTTTACTTCCCACCCCGCCTTTCTTCTTTACAGTGTATATGTCCCAAAATAGAACAAGGTACAATAAGAGGGCTCCTCCACAACCGTGGAACCCGAATCTGCAACTTGGATGGGAATTTGGTACTTCTAGGGGTTTTTTTGGTCGTGTCAGGAGTGACTCCTATTGTGAGAGAATTGGCTGTCTGCAGGGATGTTGCCCAGGGGATGCCTGGATGATTTGATGTTTTTATCATCCTTGTGGGAGGCTTCTCTCATGTCCCCACATGAGGAGCTGGAGCTGATAGAGGGAGCTCATCCGCCTCTCCCTGGATTCGAACCTGCGACCTGCCAGCACAGGGGGAGTTGAACCCACTGCGCCACTGGGGGCTTCTGGGGTATTCCTAGTGGAGACCAGGGAGTCACACTGGAATTGCTATCCCACTCTTTGGGTGCCTGCCCCCTCCACACAGCATCAATGCAGTTCAACCCCAAGGCAGCGCTTCCCAGAGACCTGATTCCCCTATGAATATTATAATGATCAATTAATTATATTTATTTATACCCCGCTTTTTCTCAATGTTTTCTCAATGTCAAAGCAGCTCACTATTATTATCAATTAATTATATTTATTTATACCCCGCTTTTTCTCACCGCCAGGAGACTCAAAGCGGCTCACGTGAAAGGCATTTCAACACAATTTAAAACTTACACATCTACAAACATTAAAACAGGATTAAATATCATTAAAAGTCAGTCAAAAGCATTATTCATCGTGCAAAATCCTTAGAAGCCCTATTTATATGAATGGAGTTTGCACAGCAGCTGTGTTTGCCAAGCTGCACCCAATATTATTAGTGGGTATGCTTATGCTTGACTTAAAGCCACAACACCTTTTGTTTTGCATATAATATGTCTGTAAAGCATCTTACGAGCCACCCAATATTTAACACTGGAAAAACATCAAGATTTTCAGAGATCTATTTTTTCCCCATGAAGGCAAAAGCAAGAGAGAAAAAACCTTGATATACAGCACTGATTGAAAAAGCACAAAAGGGGGGACATTCTTTATAATTGGTTATAAAGAATGGCGAATCAATCTAAATCTCTGAAACCAAATTATAAAGGACTGATCGATCAAATCATCATTTAAACTATAAGGTTTTGGCCAAACGATCACTCAAGCTGCCACCAATATTATATTCCGGATCAATAATGGGCCATCACTAAGCTAAAACTGTACTTATGGGGAAGAAGGTTTACGCTTTGCACAGATCATTCACCTTTACGGTGGTTACATCAGGTCAAGAGCACCAATAGTAAATTAATTAGATGGAGTTGAGCACTTCAGGATTATGATTTCGAGGTGAAACATATTAAGGGCACCCAAAATGTCATCTCAGATACACTGTCCAGAGCCATGAGTTAAGTTTGAATCCAGGATTGGAAAAGGTATTGTGTTTGTTGTGATAGATTGTGTATATGCATTACTGTAATGTATTTAACATGTTTATTCTTCACAGGAGAGTATTTATTGTATATATTGTATTGATTGCTTGATATGTAATAATAATAGTTGCAAATGTGTTATTTGCAGAATGTATTTAGATGTGTTGTGTACTATAGGGAAGGTGGATAGGTTAGTTAGGGGGTCTAGTTAGACGTAGGATATTAAGTTAGGTTTTGCTTAGGAAGAGGTCAGCAAACCTCTTCACTCCGCAAAACATCTTGAGACAGTATTGAAGAACGGTTTCATACTGTTAAATGGAGATGCTAACTTTATCCATGCATGTGAAAGTACACAGAGATTACTTGTGTAATTGTGCAACACATTTTGTATTAAAATAAATGTGGTTTTAAAATTTAAAAAAATCAATCCATAAGAAGAATTCACATTCAAAACTCAAAACAACAGCAGCCCCTTAAGATCCCAAAAGCCCTTCTTCTTTCAAAGCCAGACCTGGAAGATTTGGCCACTCTCTGTCCATCCCAAACACGCCAAGCCCACACTTCCTGGGCCCTCCCTCCAGGCCAGCTTCTGCCCTCCTCCAGGTGTTTTGGGCTGCAACTCCCACAATAGCTCCTAAGGGTTAGGAATTGTGGAAGCTGAAGTCCAAAACACCTGGAAGGAGGTCCGAAGTTGGCCCATGCCCCTCCGGCTCTTACCCAGATCATGTACTTGATGATTCTGCTGGTGGCCACCGTGTACTCCTCAATCAGCTCCGCCAAGTAGTACAATCCGGCCGCTGAAGAAGGGATGAGGAACAGCGCGAGAGAGAAAGAGAGAGAAAGGAAGGGATCACGTTGGGAGAGAGAAGCACAGGGCGGGATGTGTTATCAATTGTTTATTCCATTTAACATTCCATTCTTCAACAAGCCCTATGAGGAATGGCTTAAAGAGCTGGGTGTGGAGACTAGGACGCATGGCTTCAAACTACAGGAAAGGAAGGAGATTCCATCTGAATATGAGGAGGAACTTCCTGACGGTGAGAGCTGTTCAGCAGTGGAACTCACTGCCCTGGAGGGAGTGTGGTGGAGGCTCATTCTATGGAGGCTTTGAAGCAGAGGATGGATGGCCATCAGTCGGGGGTGCTTTGAATGCTATTTTCCTGCTTCTTGGCAGAAAGGGGTTGGACTAGATGATGGCCCACTAGGCCAACTAACTCTTCTAACTCTAGGGTCCTAGGATTCTATTTTGCTGAATTGCACTTTATTGTACTATTTTGGTTGTAAGCTGCACCGTGACCCTTGAGGAGAGGGGGGTAGGATATAAATAAACTTCATCATTATACCTTTACCATCATTATTATTTCTTTATTATTATTATTACCTTATTATTACCGCCTCATAGGAAACCTGCTACAAAACAGGAGCTTTTTTGTTGAGTTTCAGGGCCAGAGAAGCAGATGGCGGAAACAGAAGAACGGCCTGCCTCAGGGGAGCGTGCTTGCCCCATCCATGTTCAACAGCCACACAAGTGACCAGCCACTGCCAGAAGGGATAGAGAGTTTCATCTATGCTGATGATCGTGCCATCACCGCTCAAGCAGGAAGCCTAGGGAACCCTGCTCAAGTAGCAAAGGACAAGAGGGATCCTCTCACCTCTGCAGGAGTCTACCATTGTATACCATGCAGCTGTGGACAAGTCTACAGAGGGACCAACAAACGCAGCAACATTGCCCAAACACGAATCAAGGAACATGAAAGGCACTGCAGACTACTTCAAGCAGAGAGGTCAGCCATAGCAGAGCACCTGAGGAACCAACCTGGACACAACATATTATTATTTGAGAACACAGAAATGCTGGACCACACCAACAACCACCATGTCAGACTACACAGAGAAGCCATTGACATCCACAAGAGGCTTGGGGACAACTTCAACAGAAAGGAGGAGACCATGAAAATGAACAACATCTGGCTACCAGTATTAAAAAACTCCAAAATTACAATAGCAAAATAGCAGAGAGGAAACAACCAGGCACATCTTAACACCTCTCAACAGAACATTTTCCCAGGCTCAGCCAGCCCTTCAAATGCTAATGAAGGTGGTCAGCTGAAACATTCACACCTAGCAGAGAAGAGTTCTTTGCCCCACCCCAGTCATTCCACAGATATATAGGCCCATTTTCCTATTTCCAACAGACCTCACTACCTCTGAGGATGCTTGCCATAGATGCAGGCGAAACGTCAGGAGAAATGCCTCTAGAACATGGCCCTATAGCCCGAAAAAACCTACAAGAACCTAGGAAGCTTTGAGATGGTAGAAGCTCTAGGTGCTCTGACTGCCTATTACAGGGAAAACCAGCTGATCCCTAATCCATCCAAAACACAGACATGTGCCTTTCACCTTAAGAACAGACAAGCACCCCGAGCTCTGAGGATTATTACCTGGGAAGGAAGGAATCCCACTGGAGCATTGCAGCGCACCCAAATACCTGGAAGGCACCCTGGACTGTGCTCTGACCTACATGAAGCACTTCCTGGATATCAAGCAAAACGTGGGTGCTAGAAACAATATCATATGAAAGCTGACTGGCACAACCTAGGGATCACAACCAGACACAGTGAAGACATCTGCCCTTGCGCTATGCTACTCTGCTGCTGAGTCTGCATGCCCAGTGTGGAACACATCTCACCACACTAAAACAGTGGATGTGGCTCTGAATGAGACATGCCGCATTATCTGCGCCCTACACCACTGGAGAAATTACACTGCTTAGCCGGTATTGCACCACCTGACATCCGCCGGGAAGGAGCAGCCAATAGTGAAAGGATCAAGGCAGAGACATCTCCAGCTCATCCCGTTTGGGTATCAGCCAGCACGTCAACGACTTAAATCTAGAAATAGTTTTCTAAGATCTACAGAGATTCTTGCTGGAACACCTCAGCAAGCGAGAGCCCAAAAGTGGCAGGCTCAAACCCAGAGCCTCAATCCATGGCTGATACCCAATGAGAGACTCCCCCCTGGGCACACAGAAGACGGAGAGACTTGGAAGGCGCTGAACAGAATGCGCTCTGGCACCACGAGATGCAGAGCCAACCTCAAGAAATGGGGCCACAAAGTGGAATCCACGACATGCGAGTGTGGAGAAGAGCAAACCACTGACCACCTGCTGCAATGCAACCTGAGCCCTGCCACATGCACAAGGGAGGACCTCCTTGCGGCAACACCAGAGGCACTCCAAGGGGCCAGATACTGGTCAAAGGACATCTAATCAACTACCAAACTCACACATTTTGTATTTTGTCTGTTTGTTTGCTTTGTTCTGTTGGAAATGTAACATAATTGACTGGTTGCTGTGACATGACAAATAAATAACCTTGTTGTTCTGTATTGAGGCCTTGGCCTTTGTAAGCTGCATCGAGTCCTTCGGGAGATGCTAGCGGGGTACAAATAAAGTTTAATAATAATAATAATAATAATAATAATAATAATAATAGTTACTATTACTACTACTACTATTGGAAACACAACAAGATGAGTCCACAGCAGACACTCTGCTGGCTGTTGTAGTGGATCACACATTATTATTATTATTATTACTATTATTATTATTCCTTCCCTCCTCCTTCTTCCCCATCCATTCCTTTCTCTTTCTTGTTCCTTCCTTCCTTTTCCCTTCTTCCTCATCCCTTCCTTCCTTCTTCCATGCCCTATTTATTTGTCGTGTCAGGACAACCAGCCAAATTATATTACATTTCTAACAGAACAAAGCAAGCAAACAAACAGACAAAACACAAAATTTGCAAGCTTGGTAGTTGATTAGATGTCCTTTGAGCAGTCTCTGTCCCCTTGGAGTGCCTCCGGTGTTGCCGCAAGGAGGTCCTCCCTTGTGCATCATGTGGCAGGGCTCAGGTTGCATTGCAGCAGGTGGTCAGCGGTTGGCTCTCCTCCGCACTCACATGTCGAGGATTCCACTTTATGGCCTCATTTCTTGAGGTGGGCTCTGCATCTCGTGGTGCCCGAGCACAGTCTGTTCAGTGCCTTCCAAGTCGCCCCGTCTTCTTCTGTGTGCCCAGGAGGGAGTCTCTCATTTGGTATCAGCCATTGATTGAAGTGCTGGGTTTGAACCTGCCATTTTTGGACTCTCGCTTGCTGGGGTGTTCCAGCGAGTGTCTCTGTAGATCTTAGAAAACTATTTCATGATTTCAGTCGTTGACGTGCTGGCTGATACCCAAACAAGGGATGAGCTGGAGCTTCCATACCCTCCTACACACACACACACACACACACACACACACACATGATATCGAGCTGCAGCTCGATATCACACACACACACACCCAGAGAGGCCTGTCCCCTTCCACAACTGTGGCCTTGAGTGTGGGCAGAAGGTGGGATTCCTCACAGGTCGGAGGGGTCCTGAGAAGGGACTCCAGCTCCCAGAAGGCATTGTGCTTAGCTTGGAATTCTGGGAGTTGCACTCCAAAACCTCATTTCACTTCACTTCCTTGGTTTCCTTCAGGCCTGGCTACCAACTTGAGCCTCTGGGTGTTTTGGACTCCCAACTCCCAGCATTCCTCACAGCCTCAGGCCCATTCCTTTTCCCCCTCAGGGGAAAAGGAAAGGGCCTGAGGCTGTGAGGAATGCTGGGAGTTGGAGTCCAAAACACCCAGAGGGAGGGCCCAAGTTTGCCTGCCACTTTTGGACTCCTGCTTGCTGAGGTGTTCCTGCTTAAGCGGCCCAGGGGGGAAAGGAAAGGGCCTGAGGCTGTGAGGAATGGTGGGAGTTGGAGTCCAAAACACCCGGAGGGAGGGCCCAAGTTTCCCTGCCACTTTTGGGCTCTTGCTTGCTGAGGTGTTCCTGCTTAAGCGATCCAGGGGGGAAAGGAAAGGGCCTGAGGCCAGGAATGGTGGGAGTTGGAGTCCAAAACACCTGGAGGGAGGGAGGGAGGGCCCAAGTTTGCCTGCCACTTTTGGACTCTTGCTTGCTGAGGCGTTCCTGCTTAAGCGGCTGAGGGGGAAAAGGAAAGGGCCTGAGGCTGTAAGGAATGCTGGGAGTTGGAGTCCAAAAGCCTTGGAAGGAAGGCCTGAGTAGGCCCAAGCCTAATCTAGTTGGTATAAGTAGATCAAGTGAGGAATGCTGGGAGTTGGAGTCCAAAACACCCGGAAGGAGGGAGGGAGGCCTCAGCGACGGGTCCCCGGCAGGGCCAAAAGGAGTGGGGCAGGGTGGTGTGTCTCACCGATGCCGAGGGTGACGAAGGCGGCCTGGATGAGGAGCGCGGCCCAGCTCAGCGCGTACGTGAACCACATCCTGGCTTGCCACGGGCACCCAGGATGAAGGAGGAGGCCGCACACACCGCTTCCGGCACCCACACCGGAAGCCCCTCTGCGGGAGGAGGAGCAGAAGAGACGCGCGAGGGCGGCCCCTAGCGGGCGGAGGGGGAACAGGCGCTTGCTCTTCCTCTTCTTCCTCCTTTGGCCACGTGGTCGAAGCTGGGACCACTCCATCCCCTTCTTCCAGGCAGGAAAAGCACCGTCAAAGCACCCCCGACAGATAGCCAGCCACCTAGCCTCCGTGTCAAAGCTTCCAAGGAAGGAAGGAAGGAAGGAAGGAAGGAAGGAAGGAAGGAAGGAAGGAAGGAAGGAGGAGGCAGAGAGTTCCACTGCTGAACAGCTCTCTCTCTCTCAAACTCGGGCAGATGGGCCTCTCAAAGAATACATTGAGCGGTTTTGAGCATTAAAAAGTTAATGCAGACCTTAGTGGAACGGATCAGTGACATAGACAAACAGGACTCAATGACTCTAGCGCGCTCCACATGCTCTCCATTGAGTCTAGGCCTAACATTTAATTCTTTGGGAGGTGCCAAATACTTTGAAAATCTGAACATCCCAAAATTCCGCCTTGCTTTCAGTTGGGCCAGATTCAATGCCTTCCAATCAGCCATACTAGAGGGTAGATGCAATGGGACTGATGACGAACACAGAGTTTGCCCATGCGGGGAGGGTAACGTTGAAACTGTAAGGCATGTACTTTTTATGTGCACAATGTACAAGGATGATAGACGAAGGTGAATATGCCCTCTCCTCACCAAGGGGCCAGGGAGATCCCTAAGTTGGGACTGCACTTATTTACTGCCTGATCTTGGCAAAAGGGTCACGGAACAGGTGGCCAAATTCCTGTTTGCAGCGACAAAAAGCCGCAAGTGCTTCATGAATAACCTGTAAACGCTAAGAGTGTAACAAAGAGTACTCGGGAGACTTATTATTAACTTGCAATCCGTTCCTGTTTTAGATTATATAGACAGCCATTCATGCGATAGCAAATGGTGATACTTGTTTTTATTAATTATAAGCCAAATGTGATGTTATTAATTGTTTATTGTTCAACATCTACATGAAGCCGCTGGGTGAGATCATCCGGAGTTTCGGGGTGCGGTGTCACCTGTACGCAGATGATGTCCAACTCTGTCACTCCTTTCCACCTGCTACTAAGGAGGCTGTCCAGGTCCTGAACCGATGCTTGGCCGCTGTGACGGTCTGGATGGGGGCGAACAAACTGAAATTAAATCCAGACAAGACAGAGGTACTCCTGGTCAGTTGTAAGGCCGAACGGGGCATAGGGTCACAGCCTGTGCTGGATGGGGTCACACTCCCCTTGAAGGCGCAGGTTCGCAGCTTGGGTGTGACCCTGGATTCATCGTTGAGCCTGGAACCTCAGGTTTCAGCGGTGACCAGGGGAGCATTTGCACAGCTTCGGCTCGTGCGCCAGCTGCGCCCATACCTCGGGATGTCTGACTTGGCCACGGTGGTACATGCTCTGGTCACATCCCAACTTGACTACTGCAATGCTCTCTACGTGGGGCTGCCCTTGAAGACGGCCCGGAAGCTTCAGCTAGTCCAGCGCGCGGCTGCCATGCTACTAACAGGAGCAGGACGCAGGGAGCACACAACGCCCCTGTTGTTCCAGCTCCACTGGCTGCCGATCTGCTACCGGGCCCAATTTAAGGTGCTGGTGTTGGCCTACAAAGCCCTAAACGGTTCCGGCCCAAAATACCTTTCTGACCGCATCTCGGCCTATGAGCCCACGAGGGCCTTGAGATCATCTGGGGAGGCCCTTCTCTCGATCCCGCCTGCCTCACAGGCACGTCTGGCGGGGACGAGAGATAGGGCCTTCTCAGTGGTGGCCCCCCGGCTATGGAGCACCCTCCCTGTTGACATCAGACAGGCGCCCTCACTTATGGCATTCCGTAAGAGCCTAAAAACATGGCTATTCGAAAAGGCGTTTAACTAAGGGCTATAACAATTGGCAATGACGACTGGAACGGAATATGGATTACGAGATTGGCTTATGATTCTATGTTGAGACGACGCGGATGATTTAGTTTAATTATATGTTTTGTAAACTGTTTTTATATGTTGTACACCGCCGTGAGTCGCCCTAAGGGGCTGAGAACGGCGGTCAACAAATGCAATAAATAAATAAATAAATAAATAAATAAATTTATTGTTGTATTTCATCATTCTACTTTCACTTGACTTAGCCAACGGTTTGTTGACCGAAATAAAGGCCACTGACTGACTGACTCTCTCTCTCTCTCTCTCCCAGTCAGGAAGTTCTTCCTCATGTTCAGGAGGAATCTCCTTCCTTTCCTGCCATGGCTCCATCGCCTCCTAGTCTCCAGGGCAGCACAAAGGAAGCATAAATAAAGTTTAGTCGAAGGCTTTCATGGCCGGAATTGAAGTCGAGCATGTGTCCCCGTCCTCCGTCCCCCGTCCCCCCAATAATAATAATAAGAAGAAGAATAATAATAAGTGGAAGACAAAAGGAAGAGGGGCCAACCAAGGGCAAGATGGATGGATGGCATCCTTGAAGTGACTGGACTGACCTTGAAGGAGCTGGGGGTGGTGACGGCCGACAGGGAGCTCTGGTGTGGGCTGGTCCATGAGGTCAGCTAGAGAAGACAATGATGCTGGGGAAAATGGAAGGAAAAAGGAAGAGGGGCCGACCAAGGGCAAGATGGATGGATGGCATCCTTGAAGGAGATTGTGACCTTGAAGGAGCTGGGGGTGGTGACGGCCGACAGGGAGCTCTGGCGTGGGCTGGTCCATGAGGTCAGCTAGAGAAGACAATGATGCTGGGGAAAATGAAGGAAAAAGGAAGAGGGGCCGACCAAGGGCAAGATGGATGGATGGCATCCTTGAAGTGAGTGGCTTGACCTTGAAGGAGCTGGGGGTGGTGACGGCCGACAGGGAGCTCTGGCGTGGGCTGGTCCATGAGGTCAGCTAGAGAAGACAATGATGCTGGGGAAAATGGAAGGAAAAAGGAAGAGGGGCCGACCAAGGGCAAGATGGATGGATGGCATCCTTGAAGTGAGTGGCTTGACCTTGAAGGAGCTGGGGGTGGTGACGGCCGACAGGGAGCTCTGGTGTGGGCTGGTCCATGAGGTCAGCTAGAGAAGACAATGATGCTGGGGAAAATGGAAGGAAAAAGGAAGAGGGGCCGACCAAGGGCAAGATGGATGGATGGCATCCTTGAAGTGAGTGGCTTGACCTTGAAGGAGCTGGGGGTGGTGACGGCCGACAGGGAGCTCTGGCGTGGGCTGGTCCATGAGGTCAGCTAGAGAAGACAATGATGCTGGAAAATGGAAGGAAAAAGGAAGAGGGGCCGACCAAGGGCAAGATGGATGGATGGCATCCTTGAAGTGAGGCTTGACCTTGAAGGAGCTGGGGGTGGTGACGGCTGACAGGGAGCTCTGGCGGGCTGGTCCATTGGAGAAGAGAATGATTCTAGGGAAAATGGAAAAAATATTAAGAGGGCCAAACAAGGGCAAGATGGATGGATATCCTTGAAGTGACTGGCTTGACCTTGAAGGAGCTGGGGGTGGTGACAGCCAACAGGGAGCTCTGGCATGGGCTGGAAAGCTTACAGAAGACAATTATGCTGGGGAAAATGGAAGGAAAAAGGAAGAGGGGCCGACCAAGGGCAAGATGGGTGGATGGCATCCTTGAAGTGACTGGACTTGACCTTGAAGGAGCTGGGGGTGGTGACGGCCGACAGGGAGCTCTGGCGTGGGCTGGTCCATGAGGTCACGAAGAGTTGGAAACGACTGAACAAATGAAAAACAACAATAACTTACAGTTCTGTAAAGGGCAAGCATACCAGACTGCAGAATTATATTTCTCCCTCTTCCTCCTCCTCCTCCCTAGGACATCTTCCCCTCCCCTCTTGATCCACGGCCCTCCTCGTGCCTAAAAACACAGGATGAGCTGATATTTCTGTTTATATACAAATAATATATGTTTATCTCTGCTGGCGCCGCATACATCCAGCTTATCAGTTAGCAGGGCCGAAATGGCCAAATAATGGGGAAAGCATGTTTTTAAGAATCTGGAGAATGGAGATGGATTGGCACAGTAAAGAGAATGTGTAAAAGACAAGCAGGGAAAAGTCAGCGTGCTGGAAGAAGAAGCAAAGACCACCATCATTGAAGTGATGGTCCTCTACCATCAACTCTGTTCGACCAGCCACGTTGCCCGGATGCCCGACCACCGTCCCCCAAACCAGTTGCTCTGCTCCAAACTCAAGAACGGAAAACGGAACGTTGGTGGGCAGGAAAAGAGATTGAAAGATGGGCTCAAAGCCAACCTTACAAACTCTGGCATAGACACTGAGAACTGGGAAGCCCTGGCCCTTGAGCACTCCAGCTGGAGGTCAGCTGTGACCAGCAGTGCTGCAGAATTTGAAGAGGCACGAATGGAGGGCAAAAGATTAACGTGCCAAGAGGAAGGTTTGTCAAGTCAACCCCAACTGAGACCACCGTCTGTCTGGAAAACGATGCCCTCACTGTGGAAGGGAGAAGATGTAGGTCAAGAAGAGGGCTCCACAGTCACCTACAGACCCACCGCCAGGACACTACACAAGATGTGAGGGGAGTATGTCATGGGAAGGAGGACGGAGCAAGCTTGTTTTCTGCGTCCCTGGAGACTAGGTCGCAATGGAACCATGGCTTCAAACTAAAACAAAGGAGATTCCATCTGAACTTTAGGAAGAACTTCCTGACTGTGAGCGCCGTTCAGCAGTGGAACTCTCTGCCACAGATTGTGGTGGAGGCTCCTTCTTTGGAAGCTTTTAAACAGAGGCTGGATGGCCATCTGTCAGGGGTGCTTTGAATGCAATATTCCTGCTTCTTGGCAGAAGGGGGTTGGACTGGATGATGGCCCAGGAGGTCTCTTCCAACTCTAGGATCGTATGATGCTTACCAACTCTAAAAGCAGGTAAATGCCTGAAAAGGGGGCTTTGCTGTACTTGCAGAGCTCTGCTGAATCATGGGACCAGAAGCCCACCATTGTCCCTTCTCCAGGTCCTGGTTATGTGCTTTCAA